AACGGGTTGCTCAGGTACCCTGCCTGTCTTTGTTGCTATGGGAGATTGGAATACTGTTACTGTGCCAGTGCTGTCATCAGGTAAACTGGTAATATTTTGATTTAGTGGATTTGCTAACTTTACCAGTGATGTTATAGCTGCTAAAGAGAGAGAGATTGGAGTTTTGTGCATGACACATTGACTAGTTAAGCAGAATGTTAAATAATATGTAGTACGTACAGTGCTTTGTTTTGGATTGAGTCCTTACAGAAATGCTACTGTAAAATACTGTCCTTTCACATATATATAAAGGTTTTAAGACTTTTCAGTCACACTTTTTTTTTAACCACACCTTTCAGTATATCTTGCATTTTCAGAGGTTTCTTTACTTGTTCTATATTCTTTTGCCTCATAAATTGATTACAAATTTATTAAAGGAGTAAATATTTTCTTGCCTACTTCTATCTAGTGGAAGAGTAAATTACAGCATACACTTAATATGAATAAGAATATCATATATTCTGTAAGAATTCTCACTAAATGCACAACTTCTGCACCTGTGTAGAAAAAAAATTTAAAAAAAATTGTGTTGTAGTAAGCCAATTAGAAAGAAAGTTTGGGCAGTTTTTTCTGGGCAGATAAGTAAAATTTGAAAGTTACAATACCTAAAAATGTTACTGAGTTTTTAAATCTTCAGTGGAAGCTTATCCTTTTTTTTATTGTGAATTGTTTAATAGATGTCATTCTAGATTAAATTCTAAGCTCTAGAATTGTAAATTTCTGTAAAAAATAATTTGAGCAGTTAGGGGTTTGATTTTTTTTTTTTTTTTTTGGTAATGTGATGCGTCGTAAACTATTAGCCCTGACTTGTTTCTTAATGTTTTTAACTTTTAGACAGCAAAAATATTTTTCAATATACCTCAGAAAAAAAGATATCTCCCCCAAACATGAACTCACAAGTGCTACGCTTGCCACTGCCTTCATCCAAAAGCATGCACAGCTTTTTCAGTGCCTTCTGCACAGAAGAGAATATTGAACAGAGTATATCCTATCTCAATAGGGTAAGCTAATCTTCTTGTTTATTGGAGGTTGTGTGAAGGTGACATTAAATCAATTATGGTAGTAAAGATTCACTGGATTAAGAAGGCTTCTTTCTCAATGCTCAGAAGCCAAAGTTGGTGGGATAGGATTTTTTTTTTTCCCCCCTTCATATAGGATTTTACCCAATACTGTTTCCCTCTTTTGGATAATTGTGAGACATTGATCGTTATTTATTCCCCCCCCCGCCTTGTCTTTTACCAGGAATTGACAACATTGGGCTTTCCTTCTATTTATGCGGAGTCCAAAGGAAAAGAATTAAATTTAATATCTATCATAAATTGCATGAATGAATTGCTTGTACTGCAGCACAAGAACCTTCGAGCTCAGGAAGAAGTAGAAATGCAGCATCTGAAACTGGGTAGTGATATGGATCACTTACAGAACTGCTATGCTAAATTAAAGGTAGAAAACAAGATAATTCCACCAATATTATGCAGCACTTATGTTTAAAAGATACTGTACATTCTTAACAGTGAGTGCTTTTTTTGTTTTTTGTCCCCAGTACTAATCTGCAATTGTATTTTTATGTGCATTTTGGATTTTTTGAAGTCTTTTTCCAGTTGAAAATTCCTTAATGAAATATGAATTAATAAGGGAGCTGAAAACTTATTTAGAAAACTTATTTAGAATTATGGCCTCTTTAGTCAAGGAAGAGGGAAGACTGTTCAGATTGGAAGTGTTAATGCATGCTGTGGGTGAAAATGTTAAACGCTTCAGTTCATATAATTCAGTATCACTTAAAAGGATATGCCCAGCTCTAAAAGATAAATTCCCAATATAATTATAAACAGTAAAAGCGTAGGTAGCATTTCTAGTGTGTGTCACAGGGTTATTATCAGTCTTTCTCCATATCTGTAGTTTTTTCTGGTTTTTTTGTTGTTGTTGGATCCCTTGAATAGCTGACTATAAAGTCTCTTTGTAAGAACTGCTCAGAAGCTGTTGTCAAAACTGAAGTTACTAAGCTTCGTTTTACCACTGGATAAATACATGCACAAAGCCGATCACTGTGGAGCAGCTGATATATTGGAAGTTCACAGCCTATGCTACTTCATGGGCACTTGTATGTGCAGTCATATTAGAGTGTTGTCTTTCCCTTGACTCTCTCAAGAAAATAAAATTGGAAAAAAAAGATTTCAGTGCATGATTCAGGGCCTTTTAGGCTTGCTTTTCACTTGGGCTGGCCAGGACTATCTCCTTGACAAATACATCTGTAGATTCTCAAATTCATAGTAGTGCTTCTGCTGAGATTGGTCATCCATGTAGAAGCATTTTGATATGACATTAAAAAATCATGTGTAACTGCTCTCATTTTTATAGAAATACTATATAATGTTAGGTTCCAGAACACTCCAGTTACTTTCCTTAGACAAATGGCTTTAAGGTGAGGGGTGAAAAACTTGTTAGTACTACTTCAATCCCAGGGCATTTAATTTAGCTGTCAGCTTGTGAGGTTTCTCATGTAAACTCTTTCAGATACTATGCAGCGATCCTCTTGAACTTCCACTGTTGTGTTACCTATATTCCGATGTGGTTTGCTTAGAAGTTCTTGTTGCTTAAATATCTCTACACACTTGTAGCTCACTACACGTATGAAGAAAAAGAGCTTGTGTGTAGTGTTTGGCTCTGTCATTTAAGTTGGCAATTGCAGGTTTGTTTGTGTCTCTTATTTGTGGAAAAAGATTTCTAAAATGCTAGTTTTGCATAATCTGTTATAATGAGATCATCTGTCTAGCCTTACTCTGTATATATGAAATGTCCCATTTACTTTGCTATGGTCACAGTCTGCATATGTGTTAATTGTTCCCTTGATTATTTAACAGAAGCATTCCAATTAGACCGTACAGGTTGCTTAGTATCGGCCTCACTCCCACAGTATAGATATGCTTACAGAAACCTGACTTAATGAAAAAGTAATAACTGTGTAAGATAACATTTGCTAAATACCAAGCCAAATTTTTGTTTCTTGTGAGCAGGAGTGTTTCTTGTACTGGAGGATCATACCTCTTGCTCCAGAAAATAGAACTAACTTGTCATTGAGAACACAAGATCATCCCCAAAACATCAGAGATCAAATATATAGGCAAACTTACCTCAAGTGAGGTGGTTTGGCAGTTTGGTTTGTGTGGTTTGTTGGGGTTTTTTGTTTATTTGGGTTTTTTTTGGTGTTTCTGTTTTGTTTTTTTTTTTTAAATCCTTTGCTATTAAGTCTTATTGATACTGAACTATCAACACTTTTCCTAGGAACAGTTGGAATTATCTAAAAGGGAAATTGTTGGACTTCAGGAAAGAGACAGACAACTGCAAAGCAAGAACAGAAATTTGCACCAGTTACTTAAAAACGAAAAGGATGAAGTGAGTTGTCTTGTACATTAACACAAGTCATTACATAGATATTCAATAATATGTTTTTTTGCAAGGAGACTTGTAATTGTTCACTTTGAATGCTTTTTTTGTTGGTAAATGTTGTCTTTCACCAAAGTGGAATTGGCATGTTACATATGGATAAATAGGTTCTCTAAGGGATAGGTCCGAGTTCTAACAATAGTAGAGAGTACTGCAGAAATGCACATGTACAGTTTTCTGAGGCTTTCTGTACTTTTGAGCATAGCTGTATATTAGGACGTTTAAAAATATCAAGAAGTAGGAGGGGGCAAGAGGATTCAGTCACTTCCTCAAATGTTTGTGTATAGGAGCTTTTCTTTCTTTTTTTGGTTATATTGTAGAGGAGAACAAAAGACCAAAAAGGGAGGTGGGGGGAGACCCAGCCTAAAAGCACAGTCTCGTGAAACTTGGGAGTCTTGGAAGAACCAAGATCAGAAAACACTTTGAAATCCAAGACACTGCTTAGTTTGGGATTTGTTTCCAGTGTGCTCCTTCCCCTGCCCTGTACTTTACATGGCTTCTAAGTTTCTGTGAGTGTTCTCTGTGTTCATAAACATATTCATACAGTCAGCAATCACAGTAGTATCTGTATATAGTGAACATCCTAAAGTTCCAGCTTAAAGTATTGAATGTGCTGTGTGTTTGTAAGGTTAAAACTGATGTTTAAAAAAAAAAACCTGCAGGTATTGATTGTACAGGCCAGGAATGTGCTTTATGATATATTTTAATGTTCTTTTAGACCAAATAGAATAGTCTGTCTTCCAGCATCCTGCTGCCCAAAAGACGAGTAGTTTTTCTTTTAGTGTAAACCTAACAAGCATACTTTAGAGTTAAAGTAAAACTAGATCCTGAACACTAATTACTGAAACCAAAAATATGTCTTTCTCTGCTCTGTTCAATAAAGGGGTTAAAGAACATTATGTGAATTGCCAGAACATGACTTCAGTTGTACTTCAGAGGAACTGTAGTATTATAATATGTTGCTTATGATGTTGGTTTCTGCAGAAAAGAAACTAAATCCCCTGACATAAGTCTGAGGTCAGAATCCATGGGTTGGGAGAGTTCTCCTGATTCCTTTTGTCGCTTCCTTTCACCAGAAATACAGTTTAACAGAAGTGTCATTTTGCTTCATGTGTTTTGGTTTTCTGAATAAATTTATGTGTTTATACTTTAATGGAAGAAACAGTTTATTGTGGGGTTGCTTTTAGGTACAGAAGTTACAGAACATAATTTCAAGCAGAGCTACACAGTACAATCATGATATGAAGAGGAAGGAGAGAGAGTATAACAAATTAAAGGAACGCTTACATCAATTAGTCATGAACAAAAAGGACAAAAAGATAGGTAAGTAGCTCTGTGAATTTTACTACAGCAAAATAGCATATTCTGTATGTTAAAAATGCTTAAATTTGGTTCTGGGTATCTTTAAAGTCAATATGGCCCACCTCTTGTACATTTTTATTTAGATGTTAGAAGGTTACATGAAAGATGTAATATTTCACGTCAGCTGATTGTGTAAGGCTAAAACTTTTATATTGTGTTCCATAAGATTGTTTACCAAGCACAAACCGAATGGACATCTTTACAAAATGAGTTTTTTTTACTAGGGAGAATTATTTGGAATCAATTCCTAAGCTAGAGCTGTCTCTCATCTACTTTCTTGCTACTGCTACCATCACAAGACTTTAGGAAGTGTCATAAATGCTTTATTATGCCCACGAGTTACAATTGGGAGGAACACTGCATGAGCTTTTTTCCCCTTGAGATACTACGGTCTACTTGTGTTAATGACAAGCAATGAGATGTTTTAGAGAGGAACACAAGATAGACATAGCATCTAGTGCTATGTGAAATGAGGAGAAAAGAAATCTCCTTTAGCATATGACTACTCACATGTTGTGCTGCCCAAAAATTGTGTTCAAGACATTCATCAATGCTATTAGCATGAGTATAGTTTTTTGTGGTGTGTTGCTGAAAACAGGTATCAGTGTTATGTAACTGAAAAAAAAATCTGCATCTTCTGGTTCATATATTTGGCCTTAGAGTAATTACATCATTTATCTCCAGTGGAAGAGAAGTCCTGCTCTTCCTCTCTTATCCCTCCTGCCACCCCCAAAACACTTGGCTGTTTGCCAACTGTAGTGCTTGTTGTATTTCAGTAAGCTGGTTTAGTTCACTAAACCAGAAGAAAACTATTCATGTTGTTGCCAAGTTGGTTTTCTGCTGATTTAGTTTTCTAAAAGTGCTTGTGGGTAAGCCAAACCAGGTTAGGACTCTGTAGCAGGAACACCTATTCTAGCTGCAGAAAGTCTTTAGGTATCAGCTCAGTAATCTCTAGAAGCTTCACCCTGAGCCCAGCAAAACTTACTTGTGCCACGTTCTTGACTCCAGTTGGCTAGTACTAGCTCAAGTATCACTGAGGTCAAAATAACAGGGTTTTAAATCTAGTTACTGTTTGCTGATAGCTAACTAGAATTGAGCTTGGGCCACTAATCTGTAGTGATGTGTTGGTTTTGGGTTTTTGTTGTTGGTGTGTGTTTTGCATTGGTTTTTTTCTTTTTCTTCAAACCTGGACAGAGAAGTTTCTTTGTTTTGAGGAACACCTTGTGAAACATCAGGAAGTTGCTTACTCTAAACTGGTGATAAAACTGGTATTATTGCCAGAAGAGAAGGTTAGAGTTGATACACCATTGATATAAAGGTTGAAATAGGGATGAAGGTGTCATTAAGAAATACATAAACAAGATAAGACAGGATAAGAATACATCCCTCTGAGTTTCCAAACGCAAAAATTATCATATTTCCTTGACTATGTTATTCTTACTTTAAGCAGGGCAATGTGGTTTCATATGGGTCTGAAGATTGAGGGGGATATTTGGGTAATGTGGTCTCTTGTCAATAACTACATGTAAATGCAAATAGGTAAATGCAATGTCATCTGAATATTTATATATTTGCATGTTTTTTCACACTTTGAAATATCCTTTTCATTTGTAGCTATGGAAGTTCTAAATTATGTTGGTAGAGCTGATGGGAAGAGAGGTGCATGGAGGACTGATAAGACAGAAGCCAGGTAGTTGTCTTAGAACAACATTAATTGAAACATATGTTATGGCTGTTATGTTGTTACTGTAAGATTTCTTCTTCCAGAAATGAAGAAGAAATGTACAAAGTTCTGTTAAGTGATTATGAACAACGCCAAAACCAGCTTTTAGTGGAAAATGCTGAGCTGAAAAAAGTTCTTCAGCAAATGAAGAAAGAGATTATTTCACTTCTCCCACCACAGAAACAGAAACCTAAAGAAAGGTCTGAAGATGGGCCAGTAAGTATTCTTCAGTTAAAATTAAATCTGCGTGGTAGTTTGGTACAGTGCAGGAGTAATTTGATCATTTGGAGGGTGGAGGGGCGGGGGGAAACCCAAACCTAAACTTCTTGTGAGACTTGCAAGTGGATTGCACATCCTGTGTTGTGCTTGAAATCCATCTGTGTTTAAATGTTCTACTGTCTGTCAACAATACCCAGTGTATTCTTCCCAGTCAGTCAATGGAAAGCTTGAAAGTATACTTTGAATTAATTTTAAATGCAGTAGCTACCTGTATGTAATTCTATATAATGATGCATTTTGGGTTTTGTCTGCCTTCCATACTAAGATGTTGATGCAAGCTTTCAAGGTGCTCACATGAAGAAACCAGGCTTCCCATAGAATCCATGGGGATGGAGGAAATGTAATTAGGGTGCGCTCCTATAGTACATGCATTTGAGTAGCTGTTAATTCCTTTTACAGAGCTGCCGGTACGTTCAAGGAAAATGTTTGATTTCCAAGTAAAATGGTTTGTGGGTTTTTTGTTTGTTTCCAGGTTTTAAGTATCTCTTTGTTTACAGAGGATGTTTCGTTTTTATGGAAGAGCACACTGCACAATCATCATTTATCAGAGTTCGTTTATTCCTTTTGCTGATTCCTTACTAGAAGTTGTAGTTCTGTTTTGATGTCAGAGTGCAGTAGGGAATAATCTCGAAGGTTAACTGAGCTTTCTCTTAGCAATAAGAGAAAGAATATCCCCAGGTATAAGAAAGAGTTGAAATGCAGAAAATATGCATAAAGGCTAGATTCTAGGATTCAAGATTGATGGTGTACTAGTAATAGGATATTAAGAGAATATGGATACTCTACAGAACAATGTATGAAGTATTTCCTATTACAGTAAATAGTACATGCTGGTACATAAGAACGTGTAGATGGAGCCTTCCAGAGTGTACTGTTTCTGTGGAATCTAGTACTTGCCATTTCAGAAGGTCCCCTGTCCTGCTCAAGTTGCTGTACTACTTCCTCTATTTCTGAGCCGCCTCAGGTGCATTTGTCCGGCCCCGGAGTGCGCTGTATAGAAGACCACTAGACTTTCTCTGGCCACTTCTTTGTAAGATGTGAATAAACTCTTTCTAACTTCACTGGATGTCTTGCCCCCTATACCACACAGAATGACTCCCATGTGTATTTAATGAAGTAGTCAGTAATGTGCAGTGTGTTAACCTTTTACCTTAAAATTTCATCATGTAGGAAATCAGTAGATCTAATTATTACTGTAGCTCAGCAACAAGAAGTTGATCTTCAGTAGTGGGTGTTGAGTATAATTTATAGTATAAAGCATAATCGGGTGCCAGTTCTGTAAATGGTCCTTCTGCTTTTAGGATTCCAGTGAGGCCAGGAGCATTTGGCACAAACTTGAGTACACGGGTGAAAGTCCAGCTGTGGGAATGGGGTCTTTATGAACTTGCGCATTGAAAGAAACTTGAGGAAAAACTGGGACTTAGTGCTCTGAAATTCACCATTCTTGGGTGATAAGACAAGTATTTGTTAACTGTTGTAGCATTAATAGACTACTAAGAAAATATTAAAAGCCTGCGCTGAAACTTCTGATTAGTTCTCTTGTAATAGTACTAATTAACCAAATTAAGCAGAACAACTACTTACTAGACAATAGTAATTTCTAGTAGTAGAATAATAATAGAAGTATTTACTAGATGCAAGTCTCAAGTGGAGTTATTTCAGCAGGGTTGTAGGGTGGTGTGGGGGTTTTGGTTTGTTGGGGCGTTTTTTGTTGTTTTGCTCTGTGGTGTTTTGTTGTTTGGTTTTTTTTTTCCATTTAATCTATTTTATGCTTTCTTTAATTTCATGCCACTTGGGAATTGGGGATAGTTTTTGTCATGATAGGGACACTGCTTAGTTTTTTTACATTTGTCAAATTAATATAAACAGGAAGAGTGTTGCCAAAAACTATGGTTTTGCAGAAATAGACTAAGTCTTAAATATATAATTTATCTCACAATGTGTATTTTACATTGATTAGTTTTTTGTTTAGAAGTACTAGTTTGCTTTGTGAATGTCTGAAAATAAATTTCTATTTAAAACATTGCATCTGATAGTTAATGCTTGTTTGTGACTCTCTTAACATTTTGGTATGAAATCTGAACTCTTACTGAATCCCTTGCAGAGTAAAAAAACTGCCAAATATTGCATTTCTACTTAGAAATGCTAATTCATATTGATTTTTAGAAGGAAACATATACCTTGGAGTATGGCAGCTAGTGATGTAGTCGCATCATTTATCATTTTGCTTCCCATCACAAAATAACAGCCATGAAACCAGCCAGATGGTCATATTATCACAGTACTATCCAGAGGCCTACTTCAAACTGGGCTTTCATTGTGTTAGCATATATAAATATAAGTAAAGGAATAAGGTATTTCTTTATGAAGTGACATAAGACTCTTAAACCAATCAACCAAAAAAAAAACCCCAAAACCAAAAAAACCCTCCCAAACCAAAACCCTGGTTTCCTTTTTTTTTTTCTTATAGCTATTGTTTTGCTCCTTAAGATCTCCTGTGATCCAGGTTTGAAAGAAAGTGCTGACTGCATATGTAAATGAATTACTTTGATGCCTTTGAACTTCTTGGTTTTGTACTTCCCATCCCATTTTTCCTATCTACTTGTAGAATGGTTTAGTTGCTTGAGAAGAGTGGAGTATTCATGCCAGGTATTCAAACGGCTATAGCTTTTCAGTTCAAATCTACTAATTTGTCCTGGGCTAGTCTTCTCACGACCATTTAGCCTTTTATGTCTTAGCTCTTCGAGATAGCATTCAGGTTTGATGCTTGAACAATAGTGTAAAATGGAAGTGGGAGAGGGAGGTGCTAGTTCCACTCTACCTTCAGCGTGTTGTGGGTTTGTCTTACCATGGAGAAAAATAAGGCAGGGACAAATTACTTAATTCTCTAACAGGAGAAAATCTTTGTCTTAAATCCTGTTCATGCTGCATAGCTACCGCTTAAGTTTTGACAGCAGAACTCAGCAATCTGAACTTCTCTAACTTGAAGATGTGTGTAAGTGAATTTTGCTAGCTGATAGGCTCTCTCTGTGGTGGGATTCTGAGGACTGCCAGGTCACTTTTCTCTTCAGCATTATGCTGTCAGGGAACTGAACTCCCTGACAGTCAAATTTCCCTGTATGGAAAAATCTTTCCTGTATATAAGGGTTTTCCTGCTCTTCAGTAAATTAAATCCATATACATATTTAAATAAACAAATACACATATTTGGAGTGGTGGAGTGATTTGCAGCTTCTTTCTGCTTCTACAGGTGCTGTCAGACCTGGAGGAAGATATTGGGGAGTTAAATAAAGAGAATATATGGGAACTGTCTTGTGAAACTGTGCGAGAGCAGCTTACCAACAGCATTAGAAAACAATGGAGAATGTTGAAAAATCATGTTGAAAAGCTGGATAACCAAGGTGATGTTTAACTGTATTACATGTACGTATAAAATGCTACTGATAGAGTAGCATTACTGAAAGAGTGGTCAGGCCTTGGAACAGGCTGCCCAGGGAAGTGGTGGAGTCACCATCCCTGGAAGTATTTAAAAGACGTGTAGATGAGGCGCTTAAGGACATGGTTTAGTGGGCATGGTGGTGTTGGGTTAACGGTTGGACTTGATGATCTTAGAGGTCTTTTCCAACCTTTATGATTCTATGATTCTATGATAATTCCATTTGGTATCATGCTCTTAGGATTTACTTTACTGTCTAAGCTAAAAGGAAGCTAAAATGGAAGGAATTGTGATCTGGCAGACTTTCTGAAAGAGCTTGTGATTGGCATTTTTCTGTGTAAGTTTTAATTTAATTGTAGGTAGTTAGGGAAGCAATTGCATACCAAGCCTGTTATCTTGAGAAAGGGCACGATTATAGTTTGACACAGTAAACAGCAACTTTCTGAAGTAATTATTTTTCTTTTGAAAGTACCCGTCCTGTAGTAATGTTTGTTGCCTTTCCCCACCTTTTTGAGATGTTCAAGTAATGCAGATGTAACAATTTGAAGTAATTGGATGCAAAATATGTAAATCCTTCTCAAGAGTCCAGGCTTGCCACATCCATACCTCTGAGGCTTCTTGTGGCATTCTAAAGCAAACTGCCTGATGGTATGGTGCTGGACTCTCCTCATTTCCAGCTGTTAAACAGCATTAAAAGATGGCTAAAAATATATAAAATTCTTTCCTAGTATTATTTTCCCATGCAAGCACATGCTGCTGCTACCACAGGGATGTTTGCAGTCAAGAATAAGACTGAGAAAGTCATGCATGCAATTGCAAAGAAAAGAGCAAACGGTCTAAGAGATATGTCTGTACCATAGAAAGGATTTTAGGAAGACTTGTTCTGAGTAATACTTGATTTGGTGTAACTAGCTGAAAAATAGTTGTAAGCGTCAGAAAAAATGTTTCAAGTATTTGCTGTTTTCTTGGAGTCACTTTTTTGTTTTTTGGATTTAGAGATGACCATAGTCTAGTCCTTTAGGATTCAATTAATGTTCCTGGCATCAGGGAATCAAAACCTAGCTCACTACAATCACTGTGATAGCTATGCATGAAATCAAATAAAGCAATATGTAATTATAGAAAATACATTTTATTCCTCTCTAATTCATTCCCTTACTGGGATGAAAATATGCACACAATGTTTGTTAGCTCTGTTTCTCCTTCACAGGACTCAAAGTAAAAGGCTTTCTTTTTATATCTGTGATAAATATAGTTACTGTCATATTTTTATGAACACGCAAGCCCTTCAAAAATGGGCTCAGAAGAATAGGCTAACAGCATGTCAGTGAAAAGAAGTCTTAAGTTGTCTTGATTTTTCTTTTAAATAACTGCTGAAACAAGTGGGTTTTTTTGTGTGACACTTACTGCAGTGCAGATGCTTGGTTTACCTTGGGGAATGTGAAACAGCTATGTTTTCACTGCCATTTTTTTCTGAACTGGATTTTGTGCCTAATTACCTATGTAGCACCAATTCTGGATCTCTTGTCTCTGATAGAAGTGCTTTTGAATACCCTGTATATCTGTCTTTCAGGATGAAAGAAATATAGTCTAAAACCTTTAGCTATTGCTATGAATCCCTGATGTGAGGGATTTCTTTGTTTTGTTTTTAAGTAGCTTTTTTCCCCCCTTAGTGTCACGAGTACATTCAGAAGCCTTGAATGAAAAAGATGTCATTTCAAGAGAAGACCATGAGCTGGAAACTGAAAAGCTAGAGTTGGAGATTCAGCAATGTAAAGAAATGATCAAAACTCAACAACAGCTCTTACAGGTAGTAAGCTTTAATTTTTCTTATTTTTCTCAACTGAATCTAAGCTTTTTTGTTTTTCAATGATGTGCCACTTTTCTCACTTCTGAGCCTTTCTCCATTCTTTGATAATGCTTTTAAAATGAAATATCTTAATGGTTGGTCCAAATATAGGTATGCTAGTGGGTTGGTTAGTAATTTAATGAGCTTGTAATTCTGATAGGATTAATTTTGGGGGATAAACAAAGGTCAGGAAGGCTGATGAGGTCAGCCACCTGAACAGGGACATTTTGCTTGCCATCTGAAACTGCCCCCCCAGCCACCAACTTGATACTTATTACATTGTTTCCATATTAAACTTCAACCATTTTTCTGATAAAACTGAACCTGTGAAAATACTGCACCTCTTAACTGTCACTCCCAAATTAATTTTTGTCTTTTGTTGCTTTATATCTGCAGCAGCAGCTTATGTCTCCATGTGACGATGACACCACTCTGTTACTACAGGATTGCTATTTGTTGGAAGAAAGAGAGCGTCTTCAGGAAGAATGGAGACTATTTCGAGAACAAAAAAAGAATTTTGAGAAGGAACGAAGAAGTTTTACAGAAGCTGCTATTAGATTAGGACTTGAGGTATTAGAAAAGTGGAAAGGTATTAGAAAAGGGAGCTCCTATGGAAGATGCGTTACGATTGTTAAGTAGTTTTACTGTTACACACACTAAAGTGCAGCCATCCAACAATATCTGTTTGCTAAAAACATCATTCCCATACAGTATAAAACATATCTTTGGTTGTTGTAGGAGATTATTCTGTTGGCATTTCAAAAAACCAGGTTTTTTGTGTGTGTTGGAAAATACAGTTGCTGCAACTTGAATGACCCATTTTTGTTTCAGCTTTTGAAATATCTAAGTACTTCCAAAAATCAGTCCACTTATTCACTAAATCCTTTATTAGATGCTGCTTAAGTTTGGTTTCCTACGAAAGCAAGGCCTATGCAAATTTCAGTCAGATTTGGCTGCAGGGTTGAATTCTTAAAGGTACTAGATTCCTAAACTTCTGTGAAAACCAGTGACTATTGCAGAAAAGCAAAGTAATTGCTGCTTTTGCCTTAGTAGGGTCATAATCTGTTCTCTTCTTGTAGTTAAGCTGGCCAGTAAGCACACATACTGGAAGGCAGTTGGGGTAGATGTGTCTCTAAATGAGCTCTTGCATGTGTCCCCTTTGGTCTAGCTAGTAGTTAGGGCCAAGAACATGAAGGGGCTTACAAGTTTAGCAGGGAAAAATGTGGTCATGAAACTATGATGGTACAGATATGACAGGAAAAAAAGCCATTGAAGGAAAAAAGAAACGGGCTTTAGATTTATTGCTTACAGAACTGCTTGCTTTGACATGCAGAGGAGAAAGTTGGAGTGGGATGTGATTAAAATTTATGAAACTCTGGATTCAGTTGGTCAGATGAAAGCAGTACTGTTGTTCACCAAATCTCTCAAGATTAGGACTAGAGGGAGCTCCTAGAAACTGCTTGAAATTAAGTCTAAAATGTATCCAGAAAAGGTACGTTTTTATATATCAAGTAGTTGACTTCTGGGTTTTGCTGCCAGAGGAGTTTGTGAAGGCAATCAATACCAGCAGGTTCAAAAAGCAGTTGCCTAACTCATGAACAACACATCCACAAATGGGTACTAAAAGGGCGGGACAAGGGGGTGCCTTCCAACATCTCTAATCAAATGACTTTTGAGGCTGGGAACCTCTGAGAGAATGCACTGCAGAAAGTGGCCAGTGTCATGTGATCTCATCAATAGAATCTTTTGTGGCCGTTGTTGGAGACAGAATACTGAGCTAGATGGACAACTTGTCTGACTCAAAACAGCTTTTTTTTTGTTCTTATGCTGTAAAATTTATTGTAAAGAACATAAGTATTTTATGTTCTTTAAAATATTTAGATTTTACTTGAGAGAATGGCACAACAGTTCTTCACATGGTGACAAATACTGACTCAGACCACTACATATAGATATGTATTCTTCAACTCTTTCATTTAATTTTATTTGCATTTTGATAAGAGGGGAAATTCTATGAGGGTTCGTGAATTTCATGTTGGACCTTGAATTCAGCTTTAAAAGTCCTTGAGTGATAATAAATTGTAATTGTTTGTCCAGAAATGTTTAGGACTACATTGCAGCATAAGCGTAACTACCCATGCTTCTGCTTGTTAAAATGCTCAAGTATGAAAAGAGAAGCAAGGCTGTAAGCTTTGTAGGTGTTTGTGAAAGTTTGCATTGGAGTTCTGCTTGCCCTATTTTCTACTGCCATAGTAGAAATAATTTTATATAATGGGGACGTCCTGTTTCACTTATGGTTTTTGGAGATGAAATAGCTTGTTGCTTGATTCCACAGCCATTGCATCTTTTGGAGGTTGTCCTTTAGCCATTATTTTCGTTTTTTGTGCTCAGAGTGATTGGAAAATGAAACAACCCCTTTCTTTCTGCCCCAGTTTTGGACAGAAGTAATCAGTGCTATTTTCAATGTCATTTTTATCTGTTTAAGAGAAGGCTCAGGGTTGAGGTTTAAGCAGTAATCCTTATTGGCAGCTGCCCAGAAATGGGGACTCCCTCTGAGAGGTAGTGCAACACTGAGGGGGAAGGGGAACATAGGAGGCAGTGGTACGAGATTGTGTCACTGGAGAGGGGAACAGTAAAATGAACGGATTAGTCAGACCTCTGTGAAACAAACCATGGGGTTTGGCTTGTAAATAAATACTTCCTCAGCTAATCCTTGTTGGATTCAAAAGCTTCCTCACATGACTCTAATTCTGTGTTAAACTGCTGGCTCTCCTTAATTACATGGGCATGTTACAACTTCTTCTTTCATAAGTAGAATAGCGTCAATTTAATGTGGACTAAGCTTGTTCCTGTCGTAAGTGTGAACTGTCATTTCTTTTCCTAGAGAAAGGCATTTGAAGAAGATAGAGGAGCGTGGCTGAAGCAACAGTTCTTAAGTATGTCTACTGATTACAAGCGCTCTGAAAATGTGACAACTCCAAGTGCCTTCTTAGGAAGCAAGTATTTGGTTCAAATTATGTTCTTGTAATGTGTTTCTTTTTCCCTCTTTCAACTAAAAGATGCAAATATGAACAAAACTATTAAAAAACCCAAAACTTTGCAAGACAAATTTTACCATGTATCCATATGCCTCTACCTGTCAGGGTAACTGATGGTTCAAAATCTCCTTTTTAAAAGGGAATCATGATAACTCCCTCCTTGATAATTACTTATGTAATGAATTTATGTTTGTGAAGCAATCTGGTGAATGTCAAGTACCTGACAGCACAGCTGTTAAGAACAGGGAACTTTTAGAATTAATAAATTAAATTAAATATGAGCATATTAATTGCTAAGGTAGTTGAAGAAATCATGACCTATAGAGATCTGTATAGATTAGAAATAAGTTTTGGAAACAAGAGCATCATAATGTGGAGACAGCAGCATTAATTGTTTGAGACAAGGTAATATTAAACATGTGTACACATACCTATTTAGCAAGAAAAGAATCCTGTGGAAAAAGTAATAGTGAAAAGAGCATAACGGTAACGAAAATAAATTTGAGCAATAAACAATTAAATTTTAAGATTCAAATCTTCATAAAGGAATAACTTTGTCAGAAAAGATAATGGAAGCACGGCTATATGACATATAGTTTGGCATATTGTTTTTATTGGAAGTATTTTTTACTTCCTTTCTTCTCCAATTTTTTTTTCTTTCAAGTTGGTAAGTTTATTTCCCATCCCCTCATGCCTGAATATGCATGTGCAGTGTTTTGGTCTTCACCAGTGAGTCTTCAATACTTTCTAAGGAGTGAGGGGGTGGGGTGGGACAAAAAAAGGAATGGGGGAGGAAAAAGTAACAACAATCTCTGTTAAATAGATTCTTGTTGTGGCAGCATTTAAAGATAAATGTGTGAAATACCTGGCAAGTAAAGATAGCTTGAATTTGTATTCTTGTTAGATAAAGTAGCCTGTCTCATGTGTTCTGGGTTCTCCTTGTTTTCGCCTCTGTACAATTCCTGTAGCGCTGCTGTAAGTGTGAAATGAAATGATCTTCCACAGTAGAAAAACTTCTTATTTTTAGGAACAAAATTGAGATTGTTTGGCTGTTGCTTTTGAAGAATGACTTGATTTAGTGATCTGTGAGCAACTTGAGATCTGTTTAACGTTCACTGTACACTAAAGCTTTTGATTTGTAATTGCCTCTTTCCAAACTCAGTGTTTCTGGATGTATTTAATGCCATATTTTCTCTTCTTTTTCTCTTCTAAATGGCATTCTTCAATCTTATATATCCTAATCTTAAGCTACTGGATAATAGTAATAAAACCAAAAATGTCTGCCACACAGAGACTCATACTCCATTGGGATATTACTCCACAGGTTATCATTAAAGTTGTTTTAATGTTAAATTTTCCTTTTTCACAACACTTGTCCAAAAGCTCTTAATTCTGTAGTGCTGTGAGGAATACTGTAGAATACAGAATCATTCTATTTCTTTTTTTCCACTTCATATGAAAGCTTTGAAATCTAAATGTGAGGAAGAATTAGCGGGGATTGATCTGCCATGTCTTTTGGCCATGTCTTTGCATTGACTTTAGTGATGGTTAAGTTCATATAAATGCTAAGGCATCTAACTTACTGCTTTTAATTTTTTTTTTCTATACGCTGGCAAGTTTGCAAGTTCTCATGTTGGTGTTAATTACTGTATATGCATGCTGGCGAAGTTTTTACTTAAGGAATAAAAAAGCTTTATCAATTGTAAAGCAAGAAACTTTACATTTGAGTGACTTTAAACTTGACTTCAATATGACTGCTTGCAGTGGTGGTTGTGTGTGTAAATGCTTCATTTTCAAATTTAGAATCCTAATTTTAACATAACTTCATTCAATAGTATTAAGTGTAGTAATAAAATTTTATCCCAGATATATAACAATAAGATTTATTATTATAGACATGCCGTAAGATGTTTGGTGTGGCTTTTTTTTTCCTAAAGCAGAAGACGTAAAGAAGCAAGTCCTTCAAATGTTTTTGGTGGCATTGTTTAACTGATGATATGTATATCTCTTAGGTTCTGACCAAGACAATCGGTTAGTGAAATCTGCATCTCAGCAAAGAAAACCTCACTGTAAGTTGAGTGGTCCTGTTTCAGCAGAACCTTGCCAGACATCTCAGTATATTACACGTAACAGGTAACTGAAATGACATTGCAGATGGTAATTTTTATAGTGCTAAACTCTACAGAGAGCACAGAAACTAAGTTGTGATAACTTACAGAAAGCCTAATGATTGATATATAGCAAAACATATGAAACATAGAATCATAAAGACAGTATTGTGTTTCTATCCAAAGCATAATTTATTTGCATTGTAACATTCTCTTTTCCCCAGTTCCAGTGCTGCATCAAAAAAACCTGCTGGAGATAGCAAGCCAAATCAGTGGGTGGAAAGTGACAAAGAAGAAACTGAGTAATGCACAAAGTCATGGGAAGACTCTGGAGTTGGCACTCTGCTATGTAGAAACTTGCACATAGAAGAACTGCCTTAGACTTCCTAGGGTTGCCTGCTGGGTTTTTTGTTAGAGATTTGTTCATAAACTTATCATTCTAAAGTGAAACAGAATGCTGAGTGTTTGGTCATTATTCTAGAGGATTATGTGGTGATCTGAATTGTGGCGCGTGTGTGTTTGTGCTTTCACATGGCTTTTATTTTTTAGACCATTTTTTGCCTCTTTCTTGCAACTCTTGAAAGAAGATAATTTAAAAATATATAAAAGCTTTGATATTTTTCTAGTAACAAGCTCTGATTCTGTGAATGAAGCAATGGTCTGAAACTTTGACTGTAACGAAATATTGGATCCTAATGTTATCTTTCATCACAGGCAGAGATAGCACTTTTAGAAATTGTTTAATTACTGGAAACATTCATTTATGTCTCAAGTGTAACTGGCATTGAAAATTCTTTTGCCTCAACTTGAATGTACAGTATACTGTAGATTTTTAACAAAACAGGTTCTATATTTATTGTGTGATTTGAAAATACCTCTTTGATATTTCAGATGACTTAAAGTGCAAAATCTTTATATATTTGTAAATAGACAAAGTGATTATGCTGAGAAACCATGAAATGCAACACATGCATACATAATATTTTACATGGCATTTTAAATTGTTTTATAGTGATACTCAGTTTACAGATGCATTGGGACTTTCAGTGGTTCAGTCAGGAACCAAATTATTTCAAATGTGAACAATAAACGTGTAATTCTATTCTAAGAAACCCTGGTTCTGTGTTTTGTGTGCACTAAACTTTTAAGGTGTCATGGTTGTAGGGCTGTACACTATGTCAACAAATCTGATGTTGGTTTTGTATTTTGTTAGTTTTTTCCTTTTAATTGACTCCAGAATCTTTTTTTGGTGTAGCCTTTGGGAAATCTGTTTTGTTTATAATGTAATAAAAATAGCCAGGTAGAGGTAAGATGTTTCAAAGTCTCCTTCACCTGACTCAAAGCATGCACTTTTCCTTGCCCACTAAAATCCATCTTGTCTCTTGTTGGGTTTTCATGCATCTGTGAAAGCATGTGTATAGCTCTGATCCTAGTATAATTGACCCTTTGGAAAATGTCTAAGAAACTCTGCTGTTCTCAGGGTCATAGAAAGGAAATTAACTCTGAAGCTTAGAATCCTTCACTGAAAATGCATTGCTGCTCTGCCTGTATCTTCAGAACTGGATGTAATGGAGTGATTGGACTACCTGGAAAAATAGCAATAGAATAACAACAGGAAAGAAAAGAAACTGGAGTTCTCCAAGAAGCTAAGATGGAAAACTGAAAATTCTGCTGATTAGTTCAGTACATTGAGTTACAGCTTGAGATGGAGTAGTAGCCAATGCAAACTGCAGAGGATACTTTTTGTATGGTTCTCACGTAGTACCCTTAAGGAAGCAGAAGTGTATATAATATTCTTGGTCAGCTTTCTGCTGCATAGGTAGTCAGGTTGGAAAGACAATGCAAATAACACCATATTTCTTTTTTTATTTATTTCTCCAGTTCCCCTTCAATAAATGGGTGATCATAGTCATGCTATCTGCTGAAAGGGTTTAGGAATATATAGCTGCTGTTGGGCTTACACCTTCCCCACGATGTGTTGGGAAAATTCTTGCCTGAATTTTAGTTATGGAAGAATAAATACATATATTCAAAAAACATTTAAAGATGTAAAGTGAAAAATTTAATAGATTGGCAATTAAGTGGGAGAACAGTACTTTACATGTAGGATTCTGATTTTCAAGCTAGTAGGTCATTGCAGGCCTGTAAGGCCATAGTTGAGGCAGTATCAGTATGCCGCTAGGGGCTGCTGCTGTCCTGAAGTAATTAAGGTGTGCTCGTTGGTGCTTCATTGGGATGCTTAAACGCATTCAGTTTAGTTGGACTTTTTTTACTAGACAGTTTTTCTTCATGACAGTAATTTTTAGGATAATAATGCCTTTGAAAAACAAAATAATTTACCTATTCAATCTTTTGTTTGTGCCTATTGAATGATTAGCAATTAATAAACATTTTGTACTAATTTTTTGCTTTAATGTTCTGTAACCCATCTTACAGAAGCGGAAATTCATTTGAATGCCTCCATGGATAACCAGCTGTGCTAGAAGTGCGTATGCAGTTGAGTTCTGAGCTGACCTCTTAGACCTGGTCTGGAAGTCTGGGGTGTAGATTCAGTCCTGTCCCTGCAAAGAAAGAAAATGTGCCTAGAGTTTTTGGATTGCTCTACATGCAGTAATCAGGAAGCTTTTAAATCTGAAGCTACTGCTAATAACGGTATGAATACTGCAGATGGTCTGGTTGGTAGTATGGTGACATTGTAATACTTCACTGTGTTGGAAACAACTTCAGGATCTTTCTTACTCGGAGACTGTTGAAGAGCAAAGGGGGAGACTGCTGGCAGGAACGTAATACAGGTGTGTCACTACACACAGGTGTATATTTGAGATAATAGAGCAAGTGGCTGTCCTGGTTTCGGCTGGGATAGGGTTAAATTTCTTGCTAGTGCTGTGTTTTGGATTTAGTATGAGGAGAATGTTGATAACACACTGATGTTTTCAGTTGTTGCTAAGTACCCTCCTAGTCCAAGGACAGCTCCCATGCCTACTGACTGAGCTAGGTACACAACATGGGAGGGAACATAATCAGGACAGCCAGCTCAGCTGGCCAATGGGGTATTCCATACCATGTGACGTCATGCTCAGTATAGGAATGGTAGGCGTGATCCAGGAAGTACCAATCGCTACCTGGTTATCGGTCAGCGCGGGTGGTGAGCAATTGCGTTGTGCATCACTTATTTTGTATATTTTATCATTATCATTATTATTCTCCCTTTTCTGTTTTATTAAACTGTCTTTATCTCAACTCACGAGTTTTTCTCACTCTTATCCTTCCGATTCTCTCCCCGTCCCACTGGGGTGGGGGGGGGGAGTGAGTGAGCGGCTGCGTGGTATTTGGCTGCCTGCCAGGTTAAACCACGACAGTGGCTTACCTAAGAAGGAACAAGAAGTACTGACTACTGGTGACTGATTAGCATACAGTTATTGTTAGCTACCTATGTGTGATATTGAAAAGATGAGTGGTTCTTTTACACTATGGTGTTTTATTTCACAAAATCTTTAAATATAATATGCATTGCTCCTTTTTCAGTCGACATGATGAGAGAATGCTTTTACCATAAATATCAGTCTAATTAGGTATGAGAACTTACTTTCCGGGATTAGATTACAGCTGTTAATTTTTTTCCCTTTCATCCCCAGTGGTTGAGGATGATACGATATAGCATTTGCAAAACAGACTGTAGAGCAAAGAATTAATAAATGAAAACTTTACTTAAGAAAACCTTCTCCATACAAAACAGCCCTCTCCCTAATTTGAAGAACTGCTGCCACCAGCTTCTGCAGAGTTGCTCCACTTCAGTTGCAGCAGGACAAAAATATTCCCATGTGTATGGAAAAAAATCAGACCATATCCTAGCTTTTTGCCAGGGATTATTCTACGTACACTTCAACCGGGCCAAGTTAACTAATAAATCCCCAAGATAATATCAATTTAAACAGGTTATTCTTGAAAGGAAAATAGAAGTATCTACAGGGTAATGGCAATGCTGTGTATGTTGAATTAGCTTAGCTACTACTTGTGCTGCTTTTTTTCTTCTTTTTTTTTAATTTGCAGTTACCACAAAGCTTTTGCGTGTGAAGACATGTAAGACATCTTGCTCTTACTTTCTTCCCTTCTACCCTCCATCTAATTTGCAAGAGAAGTAGATGACAAGATCCAAAAACTGATCCCAAAAGAAATGTTCTAATTATCTGATCATTTATTTATTGCTTTCAGACAATACATCTGACCTCTAATGTTTGCTATGCCCAGCAAAGTTGCACTGTAATTAACAACAACAAAAAAATCCCATGGTATACATTGTGTTGTAGTTTTCACACTGACACAGTACTTGTGTTCCTTTTTTCAAGTTTTGAGTTGTACAAGATATACAACTAACTGGAATGCATAATAGGTAAGTTTGTTTTAAAGAAATGTTCAATGAAAAAAATTAATTACAATTGTATGGAAGAGCTTGCCAATATCATAGTGAAAAGTTTGTCACCTGAGGACAAATCATGCTTGTTCCCTTGAACACAATAGATTGATAATCATGAAAAAGGAGATGTTTTTTGCTAATGTCCTGCCCCAAATGTAGTCTTTTGCAGTGAGCTGGATGGCAGTTCCCAAAATAGAGGTTGCACAGCCCCAGGTGGAATTACAGCCCAGATGAAATCTGCTTGAAAATGTCAAGACTTGTGGGACTGATAATCCAGGAAGAGCAGTTGCTAGAAAATAACTGTTCATTTATGGTCATTAAAATAGTGTTTGCCACAAATCACACTCCTGTGGTTAATCTTATAATCACAGGTATTGTGGGAACAGAAAGTGACGCAATAACCAGTATGTTGTAGATGTTGAACTGGAATTGGATTCACATTTTCTGTATGACTGAAAGCCCACAGTTTATTGCATTGCCTGAAGTTACCCCTCCAGAAATACCCTCCAACTCGGAAGCCCCTGTGCATTTTTCTTGCCTTTTGTTGATCCAGCTGCCACCCAGCTCACTTTGGAAGACCGTATAACTTTTTGGGGGGGCTTGACCAGAACTCATTCCTCCCTTTTTGTGAATATCAATCTACTACCATGCTCAAAAAGGGCAAGCGTGTTTTGTGCATCTCCACTTGCCCCCATGCCCCCGACATTTCTAGAACAGAACACTTGTGGGAATGTGTCCCTGGGCTGTCAGTGTAAGTCAGTGATGGAGCTGGCTGCAAGCCTACATCGGTTCAGGTACTTGCTGCATTTTGTATTTGGCTCCTTAGGAAATGCAAAAGTTCTAGCTGACCTGCACTCCCATTCCCCCTGCTTCGCTGCTAAGAGTCTCCGCGGGTTTTAATTGTTCACATTTAGCTGCCATTTACCTTGGAAGATAAAATATTTACAGATTGCTTATGAAATATTTGTTCATTTAAAAAATATTCCTGGTCAGTGTGACCAGAGCTGAAAGGACACACCGAGTCTCTGATTTATTTAAATAAATATATATATTCCACATATACGGGTTTTCAGTAGGATGTTAAATGTGCTTTGGTGCACATATGAATATAAGAATAGCAAGGGTTTAGCTGTCCTCATCTCCTGTCTATAGGCGTGGCTGCAAACCAATGCTGAGAGAAGAGAAAGAACACCGTTAACGCATGTGACACTGACTCTGCTTTGTTAATTGGGCCGCTATCAGTTAGATAACAGTTTGGGTCAGATGCCAGGTCAGCATAACCTGGGCAAAATCAGCCTAATCTGTGGCAGGACCAAATACCAGCAGCCAGCTGTGACACAATCTAGGAAATTAAGTAATGTGTTTATTGTAAATTTATTGTAAACGGCCTAGTAAAATTGTTTTACTAGGGTAAGTAGAAACTTTTAAACAATCCAGCAAAGGGCTTATATGAGAAAATCAGTGGGATGCCAAGGAATGACTTGATTTCTGTTATTCCATCTGAAGAGAAAGTATGATTGCAAAAAGGGAAGTGTTTACATAAACTGATAAAAAACTTGAGAATTCAGCAGAACACAGCCACGTGTTCCTGAGCTTTCTTCCATAAAAGTCTCACCATGTCTGGCAGAGCCCCATTCACCTTCGCTATGAGGGGAATCATACTTGCACTAGCGCTCACCCTCGTAGGTAAGCCTGCATATCCCTTCTTCATCTCTCTTTCCCAAAGTTTCCTGAAGTTCAGTGGCAACAATTGGATCTAGGCTGAATGATACTCATCTGGTTTTCCATCTCTTTTTGCAGGTAGCCAGAAGTTTGACATTGGTAAGTAATTTCCTTCTATAACCTTCTTTCGGTGACTTTGTTATGATTCCTATTTATTAGAACACGCTTGCCAGTATTGTGAAAATGGCTATTATTCCCCACAGACCCTGGATTCAGTAGCAGAAAGAGCCACTTGTACAGCTATGAAGGCTGGGTGCTGAATGGGCTTCAAGAAAGAAGTTTAGCCAAAGTCGGCGTGCGCTTGAGCGGCAAACTAGAGATCAGTGGGCTGTCAGAGAACGCTTACCTCCTCAAGGTACCGTGTCTTCTTCCAAACATACCATGCAACAGTGAACTATAAATCGCAGTCATAATTGCATCTGGCTAATCTGTGGTTTAGGAAAGCTGTAGGAAACTCAACTGAGACTTAGCGCTGTAGATGTCAGAGAATAATCTGCAAGCTAAAGTTTCAGAAGTGACGAGTGATTTGGCATCCACTTACCGGTGTTTGTTGTGGAAATTGTTCGTAGCAAGTGTTCCTCAAGACTTTGTGTCAGAAATAGAGATGCCAAAATTAGGGGTTCTGTTAGAAAATGGTTATTTCTAACTTAAGGCACTCAAGCCTGCTCTGAGTTTAAGATTTGATTCTAGTCTCAACACGTATTTCCAACTTCTGTGGGAAGCCAGGACTTGGGTATGTAAAATCATTGTCATGCAGGCAATTAATAAACGTAGAATTAAAATGTGATAAAAGCTAAAGATAAAAAGTGATAAGTGATAAAAGAAAGATTAAAAAATGAAAGGTATCAAAAAGGAGCGTGTAATAATATTTAGTGTTTGGATAATGCAGTAAAAGATCTGTACATGTGAAATCATGCCTCTGCCGACATCAATAGAGATAAGACCTTACCCATCCAAAATAAATATGTTTCAGAAAAATACTTTTATTTGTCTGTTTAATTTAGTTACAAATCAGAGCTTCTTTTTTTGGGCACTGGGTTCAGTGACAGAGCTCTCACTGGTTGTAGCTGAGCTGTAGATTTTCTTTCACTGATGAGGGCAAGATGTCAAAATTATGGGGTAGGGATTGCATTTTGCACTAGTCTTCATCCTGAAATTCTTACATGGTGTGCACCAGGCTGTGCTCTGAGACACCTAAACTGGCAGTAACTTTGCCAAAGTTGTGAAGTTGCTTCTGATTTACATTGTGTCTCAGTATGGGGAAACAAAAAGGTTTATAAATACATTGTTCGTTATTTAAAAAAAAAAAAAAATTGGGTTGATTTAAGCAATTCACAAATATGAATCAAATATAGCAACTAGTTTAGTAAAAAAAAGTATTTGGAAGGGGACAAGTTAAAATGAAACATTCTAAAGCTATTTTTTTTTAACATTTAGAATGATGTAAACTTTTTAAATGCTAAATTTCACCTAAAGCAGAATATTTATATTAAGGCTGAAAAAATAGGGAGAATTTTACTTGAATTTTTTTTAATTACTTTTTGAATCAGCCTTTCTATCTTACAGAGTTAATGCAAGTAAAGTGTTTAAAATGTCCCTGGGAGATAATAGCGATATGTTAACTGCTTCTGTAAGACAAAATAACACTGCTGAGCCCACAGGGTCTATACTGGTTTTACAGTAGTGTAAGCAAGAGACAAAAGAATAAACTGCTGTATGAATTGCTAAGCTTATATTTGGAAAGAAAGCATATCAAACTAGTGATTATGTTAATTTCTTCCAACTGGTTTGCATACTTAGTACCAAAGTAATTTTATTCATGTAAGTATCTCTTCTTAATTTCCCCTCAGATCCGCTCTCCACAATTCGAGGAATACAATGGCATCTGGCCCAGGGACCCATTTACTCGATCTTCCAAAATCACCCAAATGGTTTCTTCATGTTTTACTCGGCCCTTCAAGTTTGAATACGATAGTGGACGGATTGGAAACATTTATGGCCCAGAAGACTGCCCCAATATGTGTATTAACATAGTGAGAGGAATAGTGAACATGATGCAGATAACCATTAAAAAATCACAGAATGTGTATGAATTGCAAGAGGTTTGTTTTTTCCATTCTAAAACTACTTTCTGAAAGGATGTGTTCTGTTTAGGTGCTCTTCCTTCAAGTTTCTGTTTATTTGCATCTACTTTCAAATGTTCATCATCAAAAAAAGTCACAGAAGGAAATGTTGCATATGCGTTGAACGAATTATCTGAGCTGGATTCTTTTTAAGACATCTGCCTTTAACACTTAAAATGCAATCCTTTGAAGAAAAAAGAATTATTAGCTATGAATGTATTTGTTGTATGACTTCCCTGATACAGCTACTTGATCCATTTTATTTGTTCATTGTTGATACTAATTAATTGATTACTTTTTCATTTTAAACTCAGTCCCCTAACTAAGTGTTGTTCACATGTCTATTTTTTAGTTCAATAGGATTAATTGTGAACAATGATAACAGGTTTCAAAACATAATTAAGACATTCAGCAGGTCCTTACCCTCCTACTGCTCCTTCAGAATCTTTGTTCAATAAAACCTCCTCTCATGCAGTGAAATCCTGATATGATTGGGAAGTCTCATGATCTCTATTGATGTGCACAGGCTGGAATTGGAGGTGTCTGCCATACAAGGTACGTCATCCAGGAAGACAGGAAGAACAACCGAGTCTCCGTTACCAAAACCGTAGACCAAAATAATTGCCAGGAAAAGGTGATGAAGAGTGTTGGAATGGCTTACATCTATCCTTGTCCTGTAGACATGATGGTAGGTGAGATGTGAAAAGATCTTCCTAATTACAAGCACGGCCATTCTGTTCCCATTCACTCTTTGGGCCTCTCTGTCCTCCTCCAGAAGGGAAGGCTCATAAAAGGAACTGCAGCTTTCTCCTACAAACTGAAGCAGTCAGACAGCGGTACCCTGATCACAGAAGTGGTGTCGCAGCAGGTGTATCAGATCTCACCACTCAGTGAACCTACCGGTGTTGCTGTCATGGAAGCAAGGTAGGTGGGACATGGGCTTGCTTCACTAAGTGAGAATAATTATAGATTCCGGCAGTCCCCTTCACCCCCAGTTGAAGTGAAATGAGAACTGAGCTCCACAGCAGTTGGGTAAAACTGCGAGTACTCATACTTGGGGTTGCCACACTCCTAAAAACTCAGTGAACCATTCTTTATTTGTACCCTGGTGAACTTGGCACTACAATTACATGGAAGAAAAGGAGAAAAGCTCTTTTGCTGACTCACACTATAAGAATGCAACTTTACTACTCTGTCCTGAAAAAAGGCTAATTTATAGTGTCAGGAGGAAGACGGTGCACGTAGAAATAAGATCATTGATTACACTGAGTCGGTAGCTCTCATTCAGAAGACAGCGGTTTAGCTCCTTCTCAGAAATTATTTCATTGTAGATAACTCTAATACTATTTTGTTCCAATTAGAAGGCTTTACCCATTAGCAAACTGTAAGATTTTACTACGATAAGAAAAATGATAAAAGAGTAAAACTGATACCATCACAGTGTCACTGAACCAGCAAACAGCCAAGGCAGATGGAGGAAGAGAGGTAATTCATTCCTCCCACGGCACTTGTCTCTTGACAGACAACAGCTCACCTTGCTTGAAGTGAGGAGCGAACGGGGGAGCGCCCCAGACATTTCCATGCAGAGCTACGGAAGCCTTCGTTACCACTTCCCGTCAGTATTACCACAGATGCCACTGCAGCTAATCAAGACAAAAAATCCGGAGCAACGGGTATAGTATTTTGAGGTCTTCAAATTGCTTTCCTAATTAAAAAATTAATAAAAGAGTAACGATCATAAATTTCAAAGGATTTAATTATGTATGCCCTCTCTCTCTCATGTTTTGTAACAGATAGTGGAAACACTGCAACACATAGTCCTGAATAACCAACAAGATTTCCACGACGATGTTCCGTACAGATTCTTGGAGCTCGTCCAGCTCTGCCGGATAGCAAGCGCTGATACTCTTGAATCCATCTGGAGGCAATTTTCAGATAAACCCCGCTACAGGTATTTCATTGTATCAACTTAGAAGAAACTTTTCCATTTTTGGAGAATTGAGAGCTAAAATTAAGGATTTTTTTTTCAACCTGCTTGCAGGCGATGGCTGCTGAGTGCAGTTTCTGCAACAGGCACCACAGAAGCACTCAAATTCATTAAGACCAGAATTCGCAATGATGACCTTAACTACCTTCAAACTCTTCTAAGTGTTTCTTTTGCTCTCCATTTAATGAAAGCTGATGAACATACTGTTCCAGTAGCAGCAGTGAGTAAATCCGTGTGAATCTCTCCTATCCGATAACAAAAGGAATGATAATTGATGACAGCCTTTGATTATTAAGTACATTAGAGACTGGGCTCTCCTCTCATGTACACCAATTTTGTGCAAATGTTGAACCATGGGTACATGGATAAATGGTTGAACCATGGAACCATCTTTTGGCATTACATATGAGAGGAGAGTTCAGTCCCGCGTCTTCATTTCGCTGCATGGATATAAAAGCCCTTCTCCCATAACAGCTTCTGAGAATAATTCCCATTTCAGTTTGCTGGGATCACGTGTCATGCCTTCTACAGACAAAACTTTGTCCACTTTAATCCCTTAGTTCTGAAACAAATGATGATTTGTGTGTTATGTTTTTTGAACAGCTCTTTTAATTGCAAACTCTTCCTGTGAACTGGAAAGTGCTGCAAGTGAAAGTATTAATGCAAACATCAAATATTTTGACACTATAATGAATCATTTATTCTGAACAGGATTCTTCCCATCTCTAGTCAATATTCTTCTTAAATAGGAAGAAAGGGTATGATGTGAGAATGCATCATTAATATAATTGAGTTGCACATTGTTCTAAGGATATTCCATTTATAGATTGATATTTCAGTGTTATGCTTACTCGAGGAAAATCAAAACGGTACTATGTAAACTTATATATATTGAAACTAGTGGGGAATTAAGCTCCTAAGTGAAGCTTGCAAATAAAATGTCTACAAGCTGATTTAATTTGTTTGGATGTGAATTCTGAAATTGCTCCCCTCAGATAAGCTCTGATGATTTTCCTGCTCTGAAAGCTATGTGAAGCACTGTATTAAATACCAAATTTTTTTTTTTTTTTTCCCCCCCAACAGGATTTAATGACCAGTTCTCGAATCCAGAAAAATCCCATGCTTCAGCAAGTTGCCTGCTTGGGATACAGTTCTGTGGTCAATAGATACTGTTCTCAGACCTCAGTTTGTCCTAAAGAAGCTCTTCAGGTGGGTGGCTTTTTGTCAGGTTGTTCTTAATAGCTTAGTAATGTTCATTACATTAGCTTAATTCTTTTAAGATACAATATAAAAGTCTCCTTCAGAACAAAGGCAATGAATCATTTTATTAATGTAGATATTTGCTTCATCATTGAAAACACAGTTTTCACATCGTGAGGTAAAATCCTGAAAGAAGCCATCACTGAGTGATTTTATTAAAACCAGTTGCTTTATTGTGATAGGCTTTTCAGTGGGTAAGGGGAACACTGTGGACAATCTATACATTAGGAAGAAAAGACTGAACTGTGCTTTGTCTATAGCCCATCCATGACCTGGCAGATGACGCGATCAGCAGGGGCCGTGAAGACAAAATGAAATTAGCCCTGAAGTGCATTGGTAATATGGGAGAACCAGCTAGCATCAAGCGCATCCTGAAGTTCCTTCCCATATCTTCATCCAGTGCTTCTGATATCCCCATCCACATTCAGATTGATGCCATAATGGCCTTGAGAAAAATAGCTTGGAAGGACCCCAAAACAGTGAGTAGGATCTGTGAGGGATTTCTTTCCTTAGTGAATTAGAGAATATATACTGCAAGGGTAATGAATTTAATGGTATTATGTGTGTGGATTCAGCATGTTTGAAAAAAAAGGATTATTTTTAAGAACAACACAGTACAGTTTTATATTTCAGCTGATGTTTTCTGCTAAGCTGTAATAATTATTAGTCAGTAAGAAACTTCCAGAAGGATATCAGCAGTGTTTCTTTAGTCACCTGTCATAACCAATTAAGTCCTGTGCTAGTTGTATATGGTGGAAATTTAGCCACCTAAAATTCAAACATATAATTCAGCCTGCCTTGATAGTCAAGAGGAGAGAGAGACACTTTCCATTGACCTCCTACGCAAAATGTTGACATTTCTCTGCCTCTTTTAGACCTTCCCTTAAGGTTGGATGAGTCACCACTGACCTCCTGCTGAGGTTGCTGGCACGGTGAGCGGTGAGCGTAGGCAAGACTCCTGCCTTTCAGATGGTTTAGATATAGGAGCTATATGAGACAGCATCCACTCAGACTGTCTTTGGTGAGCTGCTGAAGCTCTCCTTTTAAAAGTGGTCTAAAATAGTGAAGCATGCTCACCGAGTCAGTGGAGTTACTCCAAAGAATGAATCTATCTTATTATCTACCGTTGTTTCTTCTGAAGTTATTCACCAATCTTTGAATGTCAGTAATGCAAAAAGCTATGCTGCTGATGTCTTTTTGATTGTGGTGGGTTGACCCAATACATTGATGCACGGACATTTATTTCAGATTCAGTGCCAGCCCTTCTCCATGGGGCTGTTCCTCCATGGCCCCTTCAGTGGTCTTAATAAAATGATGCGGAACCACGCAGTAAAAAAGATCAGGAAACTTTTCTGCAGGAATAATGACCCCCTCTCCCATATTTCTTGTAGATTACGTGTGGATCCAGCCTGCAAAAAAAGTGTCAATTATTGGCAATTCCAGACACTATGTTTTCTCTCTACAGGTGCAGGGATATCTCATCCAGATCCTTGTAGACCAGTCACTTCCCCCTGAAGTGCGAATGATGGCTTGTGCTATTATCTTTGAGACAAGGCCTGCCCTTCCCTTAATAACAACAATAGCTAATGCGGCAATGAAGGAGAGCAATTTGCAAGTGGCCAGTTTTGTCTATTCCCACATGAAGGCTTTGTCGAAGAGCAGATTGCCATACACGTACAACATGTAAGTAGAGACAGGAATGAAGTGGGTGATCTTCTGCAAATAATAAGTCCTGTTACATTCTTGTTAGTGAGTACTGCATGTGCCGACAAACTGAATTCAGTTTATATTCTGATGGTGTGCAGCTTATTTCTGGATATTATCATCTTTCTCCTTTTGTTTAGATCTTCGGCTTGCAATATCGTCCTTAAGCTGCTGGCCCCCAAATTGGACAGGCTGAGCTATCGGTATAGCAAGGCCATGCATATTGGTGGTTACTTTGGTGAGTAAAAGCGTTTCAGTGACCAGGAAACTTTCCCTTCAGAAATCTATTCTTAAGAGACATTAAGTCCTTTGGAGAAATATGGCATTCTGCATTTCAATAAGAAATTGAATTAAATGTGACAGTCACATATTTAAAAGTGCATGAGTAACCATTTATTAATTTGGGCCTAAACAGCTAAAATTTATGTAATGATGTATCTTAGAGTCAGTAATGGAAAAAGCTGCAGAAATATCATCTTGAATGATAAACAGAATGGTTAGAAAAAAGACGTGTCTTTTGTTTACTTCTGCCGTAGATAACTATAAAGTTGGTGCTGCTGCAGATGTCTTTGTTATGAACAACCCTGGAACAATGTTCCCATCAGCCATAATTTCCAAGCTGATGGCATATTCTGCAGGGTCAGTGGCTGATTTGGTGGAGGTAAATATTTACCTAAATCAATACTAAAGCAAATTAAAATTAAAATTGACCAAAAAGTTCTTCTCTGTAAGTATGTTTCAGACTGCTCCTTCTCATGCTGTTTTGGTAGGTTGGTGTCCGCGTGGAAGGCCTCACAGACGTCATCATGAAACGAAATATACCGTTTGCTGAATATCCCACATACAAAAAGATAAAGGAGATTGGAAAAGCTGTAGGTATTTTCAGTAATGCAATGTGTGGGTTATATGAAAGGGTATTTAGTGAGGCTTCTCCCACTAGTTAAGCCCTGTCTCGGAAGGTAGACTTCCCCCCCAGCAGTCAGCTTGAGTGTTTCTGTGAAAGATAGATCTGCAGAGGGACTGCAGGGGACATCACTCCTCGATGGTTGTGATAGCTTCTGCAAATTCTCGCTGTGGCCCTGCCTCCCGCCCATGTATGGCTGCAGAAGGAGCACGGGAGGAGCAGGGGGAGGCGGGCATCGCAGCACGGTGTGTGTCTCATGCCCGGCAGGCTTCCTCCTCCCTCCCTTCACCTACCTCACTTAGTTTACAAGAATATACCTTTGTCTTCAAGAGAAAAGGTGATGTGTTGCTGTGCTTTCAAACTGGGTTTAGTGTACCAATGGCCCAGACCCTCTGTGTAAATGTTATTGCATCGGAGTACAAAACACTGGACAGGTGGCTATTCATGGGCATCTCAATGACAGGGGGTAAGTCTGAATTAGTGACACTGTGCTATTGACAAAGCAGCAAAGAAACACAAGCAGCAATGGAAAGTTGCAGCTTGGTCAGTGATGGGTTTGATCACCTTGCTGAATTACCATTTATAAAGTGTTGCATTAAGGAACTTTGCTTGTTTCTTTATCTGTTCCCTAGCTGCTGGGATGGAAGGAGCTGCCAACAGAAACCCCCTTGATATCAGCCTACTTGAAACTATTTGGCCAAGAGCTGGCCTATGTCAACATCAATAAGGAAGTCCTCCAACAGGCTATGAAGGTACCAGGGACCCTACTTTTCTTTGCAAGATTTGACAACGTTGTACTTTCAGATCCCAACCTCTTGGATCTCTGTTTTACTGCAGACTGTGCTAGAACCTGCTGATAGGAACACAGTGATGAAAAGAATCGTCAGCCAAATGCGCAATGGCATAGCAGGACAATGGACACAGCCGGTGTGGCTGGGAGAGCTGCGATACATCGTTCCTACCTGCACTGGTCTGCCGCTGGAGTACGGGTCATACACTACTGCTCTGGCTCGTGTGGCACTCAACGGTGAGTTGGGAAGTACGAGATCAGCTGTGCGAGCTCTGAGCAGGGGATAAGAGGGACAGGCTAAGAGGGGCTGGAGAAAGAAGTGGAAAAACAGCAAGTTAGAAAAAGAACTAATTTTTGTAGTGGAGGGGAGGTAGTGAAGATGTTTGAAGAGAAGCTGGACACAGCTGACTGCTGCATCTTTGAATGGATTGAAGACAGAGAAGGCGAGGTGAGAATCTGGGAAACCAGAGAGAAAGGTCACCACATTCAAGGCCAGAAAAAACAAGAGCTGCATGGGGAGCTGACTGCAGACATGGGCAGAAGGGGGTGGCCTCTGAGAGATGCACACACAAGCTAAGCAGCATTCAATGGTGATTTAAATAGAGAAGAAAATAGAGGGCAATCAAAAGAGGGCTTGTGAAGAGAGACAGATAGTTCTGTTTTAAAAGAATAAATATGCAGGTATGAATACTTATCAAGAAGTTAATTCAGTGATCATACTGTTTGTTGTGCAGCAGACTTAATTTAGGCAAAACCGACCCTTCCTTTTGCTGACACCACATAAGGAATGAAGGGTGAACTACATGTACTTGTGCTCTTTCTAGAAGTCTCGTATGTGCCCACTCATCGCTGCTCTTGGTTTTTGGTTTGTTAGTTTGGTTTAATAACGTCTTTGAACCCTGCCCCTTGTTTTGTGGGTGTTTGTCTTTTTTCTTTTTTCTTTTTTTTTTTTTTTTTTAAATAACATCCTTGTAGCCAAGTTGGGGAGGTATGGATTGGATGGATGGGCTACAAAGTGAGTGAAGGCTGTCTGGACTGCTGATCTCCAAAAGTAGTCAACAGATGAAAGTCTAATTGGTGGCTTGTTATGAGCGATGTTCCTCCATTGTTAGCACTTGTTCATTGTCTCTTTTAACAATCTGAATTTTGGAAAAGAAGGCACCCTCAGCAAATCTGTGTCAATGACGACATTGAATTGGTGGGAGCAGTCACTGCACTGGGGGGTCAGGCTGCCACCCCTCAGGCTGGAGGGGATGGCCTGACAGAAGTGTGATGAAATTTGACAAAGGCAATGCAAAGTCCTTCACCTGGGATGGAGTAGCCCACACAAGTGTCTAGGCTGGGCATCACCCAGACAGAAAGCAGCTTTGCAGAAAAGGGCCAGGGAGGCCTGGTGGACAAGCTGGTATAGTGAATCAGCAGTGTGCTCTTGTGGTGATGAAGGCCAACTGCATCACTGACTGCAACAGCAAGAGCAGAGCTAGCGTGAAAATGATTTTCCCCCTCTATTTAGCACATCTGAGGCTGCATCTGGAGTACAATGTCCAGTTTTGGGTCTGCAGTACAAGAAAGATGTTCACACTTGATGTGAGGAAAGATTGGAGTGTAGGGCTTGTTTAGCCTGGTTGCACACCTTTCACTCTGTCTCCTGGCTCCACGCGTTTCTGAAATTTTAATGTTACACTAACAAACTTTCAATTTGGGTCAGCTCTTTATTTTCTTACTATATTTTTATTTCCATTTTCAATATGTTGCACCAGAACCTTTGCCTACAGAAGAAGCTTTCTGTATATTTTCAGTATTTTTCAGACTCATAAAAGATCTCATGTACCCCAAAATCTATCTTGTTTTCCAGCCATATTTTTTGTATTAACAAAAATATTACCTCTTCCCAAAAACTGTGTCTTGCTTAAATTCAAATCCTTTCTTTCACTTTTACCATTTTAAAATGTTGTCCTGTCCTTTGCAGTTGATGGAAAGATGACCCCCCCTTTAACTGGAGATTTTAGACCTTCTCAGTTTCTTGAATCCACCATGCAGATTCGGTCTGACATAAACCCGAGGTATGGCAGGTTTCTAAAGCTTTACATATGATGGAGTTTTTTTTATGAAAAGACAGAACCACATGTTAAAAAAGAGCATCTTTCTTACATCTGACCACTTCACTCTGTTTCAGCTTATACGTACATACAGTTGCAACAATGGGTGTCAACACAGAATATTTTCAACACGCTGTTGAAATTCAAGGCAAGGTCCTGACAAGAGTGCCAATGAAGTTTGATGCCAAGATAGACATGAAACTGAAAAATATTAAGATTGAAACAAATCCATGCCATGAGGAAACTGAGATAGTGGTTGGAAGGTATAGTAGCATTACTTCAGAATACTTTCTGTTGCTGAAACCTTATGAAGTTGACTATTCGCTGACTTCTTATGGAGGTTTCTAGATAGGCAGGGTGACTTTTCAGTGTGTAGCATAACCTTTGGGATAAAAAGCAAGTAAGAGAAATAGGGGAGTTAAAAGTCAAAAGATACCTAAATTATTTAGGAGTTTAATTTTTATTTTAATTTGTTTATTATTTTATTTTTACTTTGTGTTTTTAATTTTAGTTTATTATTTTATTGTCTTTTAGGGGTTTGATTTTTATTTTTAAATGAATGCCTTTCATGTTTTGGACATTTGTTTAAATTTATCCAGATTTTGAAAACTTCCTGTGACATAAGGAACTGATTTTTGTCATTAACTTGTATTTGTCTTTAATAATATTTACACATATAGTTGCATATACAATCCCTATGGTCAAACAACATATCTCTGTGTTGTCACATGATACTGACAGGGACATATTTCATTTAATCCAAAGACAAGGGGTTGGAATAATTTACCATTTTTTGTGCATATCTCAACAGACATAAGGCTTTTGCTGTATCAAGAAATATAGGAGAACTAGGTGTTGAAAAGAGGACCTCGATTCTCCCAGAAGATGCTTCATCAGGTATTGTGGAAGAATCTTTCAAACCATCAGAGAGAGCTTCCCGTGAAGGTTTCACAATGGTAACCTATTCCTTTTTGCTTATATAGTAATATTTACCCTCTCCATGATGCACATGTCTGCAGTTTTACTCTTGCCTATGACACGCTCCCAGTGGTATTCACATGCTCCTCTCCAATGCAGCAAGGAGCTGACAGCATGCCAAGGAAACATGCCTATAGCTCTCAAGAGGATTTTCGCCACGGCACAGGAAGAAAAACTCATAAACGAGACATTTGCGTCAAACTGCGTCATCTTGGTTGTCAGCTCTGCTTTTCCAGAAGGTCACGAGATGCCAGTTTCCTAAAAAATACGTATTTGCACAGATTAATTGGAGAACATGAAGCTAAAATAGTCTTGATGCCAGGTACAATATTGAGCACAAGCCTTGTCGTCTTAGGTTTGTCGGTGCTATTTGAAGCAGTATAGCCTTCTCACGTGTGCAACTGGTGTGTAGTTCATACAGATGCTGATATAGACAAAATTCAGCTGGAGATTCAGGCAGGATCCAGAGCAGCTTCCAAAATAATTCATGCGGTAAACTCGGAGTCTGAGGAAGAGGATGAATCATCTCCGTATGAGGACATTCAAGCTAAACTGAAAAAGATTCTAGGCATTGAAAATGTGTTCAAGGTAAAAGACTTTGAGCATGGGAGGGGGGAGTATTTTCCCATAAGTGAAGCCAAGGGTTTGAAGTTCAGTGTGGAAAGCTAGCACGGGAAAGCAAGGATGGGGCTAGTTTGAAAGGTGCCAGTGCCAGGCCTGTCAGCCCGTGCCACATCTGGAGGACTGATCCTACCGGGTGCATCCAGCTGGGGCTGGTCCTCCATGCTGGGCTAGATTTCATGCTGAGGCGGAGTGGATCCAAGGGAGTTCTGCAGCTTCTGCAGTGAGTGAGTCAGGGAAGAAGTTGTTCCTTGAAAGGCTGATGTGAGCACCTTGTCTGACACCCAGAGAGGTTTTACTTTGTAAATACAGAACCAAGTGTATCCCTTCTGTTGCACTTCTCTTTGAACTGTTTTTGCAGGTTGCAAATAAAACACGACACCAGAAGAAGCAACCTTCTAAGAAAGGAAACACTATGCTAACAGAGCTTGGGACAGACCCCAGTGCAAAAAATCCCTCCAGCTCATCTTCTGCCTCCTCAACTGTCTCCTCCTCTTCTTCCTCATCATCTGCTGCTTCTCCTGATCGTAAAAAGACCATGGATGAAGATAAGAATGATCAAGTAAAGCAAGCGAGAAACAAAGATGCAAGCAGCAAGAGCAGCAGCAGCAGCAAGAGCAGCAGCAGCAGCAAGAGCAGCAGCAGCAAGGGCAGCAGCAGCCGAAAAAAAAAGCAGCAGCAGAAGCAGCAGTAGCAGCAGTAGTAGTAGTAAGAGCAGTAGCAGCAGCAGCAGGAGCTCATTGAGTCACCATAGCCACGGGCATCATACAGGACATCTGGAAGGTGGCGGCAGCAGCAGATATTCCAAAATATGGGTAACTTTGTCAGTAAATTGACTGATGCTGCTAATGTTTGTGAATCACATTCCTGATGGCAGATGGCTTTGCATCATAAATCAGGAAATATGGGTTGACACAGGAAATTTTAGCAACATAAAATTGCAAAATTTATTCTGCAAACACACCTGCAATCATTGGCTCAGATGTCTACTTCAAAGCATCTCAAAAGTTTCCACAAGTTTGTTGAAACTTTTCTTATAGGCAGGGAATCATTTTTTGACAATTTACTACTTTCTGCCAATATACATTGCATGTTTCTGTCTTAATTTTGTGGTAGGAACATTAATGCTTTATATAAACTACTTCAAGTCTTGCATTATGTGCTTGTGACTAAGCATACAGTACTATGTATGAATGATAATTAGTAAAATCCTTACTTAATTTCCAGTGCTCAGATTTCAATGGAATTGCAGCATTTCTTTTCTTCTGAGGCTTTTCATCTTCCTGTTTTTATCATTTTCAAAGGGAGATCATGAGATTTATCAGTATCGCTTTAGATCAGCGCATAGACAAGAGGTGAGTTTTTCTTAGTAAATTAAGTATGGAATCTGTCATGACTCAAATGGAAACCTTAAAGGCACTTGTTGTCTTTGTTGAGGAAAATTACAGTACTGATAACATTTAGAACACCAAATCAACCGTGGTGGTTCTTCTGAGATGCATAAATACAGACAGCTACGTTCTCCTTTGTGTTATGCACATGATGCCATTTGTGGCTCTGTAAAGTAGGTGCAAATCTCCACCAAAGCAGTACAAGGGACTGGGGACACGGTTCCTCCACACTTCGAAGGAACAAAGATCCTACCATCAAGAGCCTGGGTCGTTTCATGCTTTGATCACTTGGTTTCTTGGGTTGGAATCACTGTTGATACACACCAGGATAGCTATGTTGACAAATGTGGGAGGATACCTTATTTTATGGTAGTTCAGCAGAAGATTCTTACTAGGGTGTGATCCAGCCAGGAGCGGTGTACTTGTTATGAGTGTTCCTCAAAAAGTAAAACATTCAGCTGTGTATGTCCATTCAGTTTATCCTTTCTGTTGAGTTGGTCCATTCATTGTGTCCTCCAGTTGATCAGGCCCTTCCAGAAGTAAAATGAATTAGTTCTGGTCTTTCATATTGAATCGAGAGGCTGGTTCAATTTGACTTGCCCTGGTCAGTTGTTTTTTCACACAGGGAATTCTCATCTAGACATGTTCCTTATTTGTCTCTTATGAGGGGTCAGATACATTTGGGTAAACAAGATTTTTCAGAGCTAGATCACATGTACTAAGCAGTGTATTATATTGCAAGTCATGGAGCTGCTCAGTGTTGGAATGCAAGTTTGCCAACACCAGGTGCCATGACAGAGAATTCTGCAGCACTGCCTAGTGCAATTTCTTCAAGCATGCTTTTAAGTTACCCTCTTGAGCATGATGTGTTTTCTTCTTGTAGTTCCCAAAAAGGAAACTCCCAGCTGACCAACTTAGCAGCACGTACTCCTCTACCAGATCCAGTCGTGCCTCATCGCGAGCTGCTTCCTGGGTTAGTTGCATCATTTTTAGAGGTTTTTGACAGCTTGGAAGAATGGCAGAGTGGCTGTGCACTTGCAGTAATTGTGCAGCTAGGGTAATGGGAAGAGAGAAATACCAACCTGTCAAGTCTCAGGTATCAATCAAGAGTGAGACACACACCATAGTTCCCACACGCACTTTCCTCTGCAGTGAGAAAAGGTCTAGATGATCCTTCTTACTTGCACCACGACCCTTCCCTCATGGCAATCCCACCCAACAGATGCCTGCAGAGACTGATATTGTGACCTCTGCAAGCAGGAGAGAAGTTGAGGTGCTGCAGTGCCAGTGCAAGGACATTGTTGATGGAGGCTGAGGCTAAGAGGAGCCTCAGCAGAAGGCATGCTCCAGAGGTGACATGTAGCACCTTGGCTCCTCACCAGCACCCAGTCTGATGCATGCAGGCTTGCTCTCTGGGGCAAGTGATGAAGTGAAGTCTGACAATGTAGTGAAGGAATTGCAGGTCATAGCGTGCTTAAGGCTCTGCTGTCAAGGGGGGAGTTTCTTGATGTTGAGGACAATGTTCTGGATTATATTTTGTGCTAGGGTTCTGTGCAAACACAAAACCTGCCACAGAGCTCACAGCTGAACTGTGAGGTGGAAGACCAACCAGATGGATAAACAGGAGGACACTAGCTGGGGGATGTTCTTGTTGTGAGAATGAGTGATGAGTACAACTGACAGCTGATGTTGTTAGTCAAATTGAACCACTTTCTTTCATTCACAGGCAAATATATGGGTATTAACAATGAAGCCCAAATCATATAGTCATTACTGGAAAAGACAAGGGGTAATGGGTACAAGTTACTCCTGGGGAGATTCCGATTGGACACAAGAGGAAAATTTTTCACAATGAGAACAATCAGCCATTGGAATAACCTCCCCAGGGAAGTGGTGCATTCCCCTACATTGGACACTTTTAAAATTCGGCTGGACAGGGTGCTGGGCCGTCTTGTCTAGACCGTGCTTTTGCCAAGAAAGGTTGGACCAGATGATCCTTAAGGTCCCTTCCAACCTGGTATTCTATGATTTTATGATACTGTACCCTAATGATATGAATATTTCCATGGTATCAGCTGTAGCTGATGGCACAGATTTTGGCTGATATAAAATACAGTGATAAAATCCATCTGTGCATGCAGAGGCACATGCACATTAAAGACATGCATGAGAGTTTATAGGCGTGTATACATGTGTGGTACATACGCTGGTATATATTTGCAGTTCAGTTGCTTATTTTCCATTTATCCATCTAGATCTTGCATCTAAAATGTTCCATGGTAACTCTTTTGTAATGATATTCTTTGCATACTTTCTCCCCCTTCTTCTTAGCCTAATTTTTTGGGAGATGTTAAAACACCAATATTAGCTGTTTTTCTTCATGGCATTCATAACGATAAGAAGATAGGAGGCCTCCAGCTCGTGGTATATGCTGATATTGACTCCATCAAGCCCCGGATGCAGGTATTTGTGTCAAACCTCACAGATTCAACCAAGTGGAAGCTCTGTGCTGATGCTTCAGTCCTCAATGCTCACAAGGCAGCGGTAAGGCTCAAAAATAGTTATATAAAGCTGTATGCATCACAGGAAAACCATGTTCCATGCGTCTAAAAACGGGCCATTCTCTCTCCATTATAGGCTTACCTGAAATGGGGCCAGAATTGCCAGGACTACAAGATTTCGACTGAGCTGGTAACTGGGCGGTTTGCTGACCACCCTGCTGTACAAGTGAAACTGGAGTGGCCTAAAGTTCCTTCAAGTGTCAGATCTGTAGCAGAATGGTGAGGTTTTAGTCTTTAGTGACACTCGTTTGTGATACTGGTCAACTGGGAAAAATCAGCCTCCATCCATGAGGTTCTAGTGGTTAAAGTACTGGTTATTATTTTATTCTCTGATCTGTCTGAGTACTGCCTTAGGATGTAAAAGCTGAGTGGGAGATCATAGCCATCCTATTGTAATGTACAGTAATTCTTCATACTGGACATAATTACTGAAAGCTGAGGAACAGATCCCTCCTTTCGCTGAACACTTGATCAGTAAAGCAGAGTGGTCTTGGGGACGTAACCAGTGACCCTGAAGACTCTGTATGCTGCTTACACACAGATGTGAGAAGGCCTGGTTGGGATGTGTGCTGCTTTTTGCTTCTCTATTTCACCAGATCTTTCTGATTTGAATTTTTGAAGGTTTTACAAGTTTGTCCCTGGGGCTGCGTTTATGCTGGGGTTCTCTGAAAAAACAGACAAGAATCCTTCTCGACAAGCCAGGGTGATCGTGGCTCTAACTTCTCCAAGGACATGTGATGTTGTTATCAAGCTTCCTGACGTAATTATGAAATATTATTATCACTCTCCTGTTTTTTCCTAGTAGAAACGTGAGACTGTTGCATTTTAATTACAGTGGGTCAATTCTGAGAAAGAAAAATTAAGTAAGGATCAGTTTGTGTGCAAATGATGAAAACAATTTTTGTTTATTTTCAACCTCTTTATATTACATCCAAGAATATTAATAAAGTGATTTTGTTCATGGAAAAAGAGTGCCATGGGTACTCATAATGACATGCATTTCCATCTGTAGTAGCTCCATAAGTGTTCACCTAACCACCTTTGAAGGGGAGTAATTCATTCTCTCCCAAATAATATCTGAATGATGACCCGCAGCATGAAAGAAAACTGTAAGCAGAAGCAAAAAGCTCATAGACAGTGAGTCAGATGAATTATGTCCACATAAATTCTTTGTCAACCAAAGTAGAAGAATTTGAAATCAATTTCCAAGTAAGAGAAAAAGCTGATCTCAGCTGTTTGCTATGAATAGCTGGCACAAGAGTGTTTTGAATGTGCTTTTGAATTCCTTTTCAGATGATCCTCTATGAAAAAGCCATGAGGCTTCCCCTGTCACTCCCTGTAGGTCCAAGGATACCAGCTTCAGAGCTGCAGCCTCCCATCTGGAATGTCTTTGCTGAAGCCCCCTCTGCAGTGCTCGAGAATTTGAAAGGTCAGGGTCTAATCTGGTTCAGAAGCATGACATCCTCAGTCTCCCAAATTACTCGAGCACCTTCTGAATTTTTCTGGGATTATTTGTCTCCAGTTAATGAAGAAATATGCTGTAATAATGCAAGGATGGTTCAACTGGGAGAGAATATTGTGCATATAGTACAGAAACCATCAGCATTTCAGGGATCAAGATACCAATTATCTGAGTTGGTAACATTTGAACTTTCTGGCAATTATTTTTTTGTTAGATAGAGGAGAGTATTTTCCATGCTTTTTTTAGAATTTATGAGTGCTTAGTAGCCTAAAGCCCCTATAACCCATACAAAAATATCACATAGTGGAAAAAATTATAAAGCTAAAATAATATAGCACTAAAAATCTGCCATTTAATGACTTTTTTTAATGGAAAAGCAAATACTCACTGGCATTTTATTTAACCAGCTCACTGCTCAGTTTCCCACAACAAGATCACAACCTTTAACGAAGTTCAGTTTAACTACTCAATGCCAGCAAACTGCTACCACATCTTGGCTCAGGACTGCAGCTCTGACCTTAAGTTCCTGGTGATGATGAGGAATGCTGAAGAAGCTATGAACCTGAAAGCAATCAACATCAAGCTTGGCAGTCAGTAAGTAACTCCTGCCAGATGCTGGGAGCGTGAGGGACTACATCATCCACATTTAAGATGAGAGGAGCTCAGATCTGAGCTTTACTGCAATGGTTAGCAGCCCATGGGATTTCAGCATTTCCCTTATTTACTTTCCATGCATATTGAATGTGATGCTGATGATGCTATCCTGCATCTTAGGTGACAAGAATACTCTGATGTAATTTAAGTAGTTGAAATGAGCTTATGCTGTGACCAGTGACATTTAGTGAGCAGGAAAATGCCTTTGTCACCATATGTGTATGATACAAACAGGGTATGAACGCTCTTCTCCTTAACAGTGAAATCGATATGCATCCTGCGAACGGACAGGTGAAACTGCTGATAGATGGGGTTGAAAGCCCCAGGAGGAATGTTTCATACATATCTGCTGGTAAGTGATGCAGCATCTGTTGTTTTATTTTCATGTATGTTTTAGGAGAAAGAAAGACAGAAGAAAAAAATCTGTCAAAGGGATTCCATCAGTTTGAATTCAATAAGTATTTCTACTTTTGGTTGTAAGGTTAATATTTAAGAACATGTATTGTACTCCCTTGCATAGGAACATTTAGAAAGACTGATTAGAGTGTGAAGTTCTTGAAGTGGCCAAACTAAGCAAGATATGACTAACATGAAGATCCCTCCTTTTCATACATTACTGCAGCTCCTACTGGAGTTCCAAATTTAAGAAGTGTTTTGGTTATACTACAGAATCTTGCTTGATTAAAACATTTTGAAGTAGAGCTTTTCTAAAATTCACCACACTTATATATTAATGTTTTTCCTAATTTGATTTGTAGGCATAAATTTGGCTAGCATTCTGAAATCTGCTAGTAATTAATATGGAGAACTGGTAAATAGCCTGCTTGCTTCTCTCAAAGCAGGAATAGTCTTTTTCTGTGAAAGGACACAGGAGGACCTTGTTTCATTCTGTGCTATGCAGTCAAGGGCTATATACTATGCGGGTGTTCCCTGACTGTAGAACTGTAGTACACAACTCCAGCTAAGTCTTGCTGAAATTGGGTTAGCATCTGCTAGCGCTGAGCTCTGTCCTATTTGTTACGTACTTGGGAAGTGATAAGTGTGCTAGAAATGGCTCTAGTGACAGTCACTGTGTTCGTCGTATTTCCTTACTCCATTATAGTGTGGTCAGGGCCTTGTATAGCTGCACAACTATACAGATATAGACAGCTCTGTAATCATTTCTAGAAATAAATATGGATATGTTAATAACCCAAAGAAAAATAACCCAGAGAAAAATTACTAAATCTGTGATCACTTTCCAACTTTTTACAAACACCCATTTTCTATACATACATCTTTCTACATTGTTTTGCTTGTTTTGCTGTATGTTTAGTTTCTTGAATAGAACAATTGAGGAATTTCAAGGAAAAGAACATTTTAGAAACATGACAGTTGCTTTTCTCTTTCTTAAAGAAGCTAGGTTGGGTCTGGTTTTGTTTTGGTTTTGCTTTGTTTTATTTTGTTTTCTTCTAGGTGCTTCTCTGTGGATCCACAGTGAAAAGCAAGGGCTTGTACTTGTTGCCCCAGCCTATGGCATTGATAAATTGTACTTTGATGGATACGCATTTAGGGTATCGTTCTTCCTCTTCATAAGCTTGGGTGTTGCAAAATTTCCATAGGATTCCCTTAAATCTGTATGTATACGTGCAAAAATATACAGTGGCAAAGTGAAATGCACGCAGGGCCCAAAAAACCCAAAAGGAAAGATGACACTACGGGGTTCCACAGTCCTGCTCTTTATTTCTGAGCAGGAGAAGTGAGAATCTTTCACCGACAAAAATACCTTATTCTTGCAGTACAGGTGTGTGTTGGGAAATGGGCCTGTGAGCATACACACACTGAGCCAGCAGTGCATTTGCAAGAAAAATGAGTTTTCAGCTCCTGTCCTCTGTTCTTACAGCTGTATAATTCTTCAAATCAGCAAAAATGCAGCCATTCTTTTAAGATGAATGAATGCTTTAAAAGGCTGCACTAAAAATAATGTGAAACGGGAATGTAAGAAATCGGTAAACTGTACTGTTTGTACCACCTATACTACGAAAACATCCATCAGACAAAAGCTTCAGCATATTAATAGTCTCGACTATTAATAACTTAACATACTAGACTGGCACAGTAGGTTTTAAAGGCTGTAACAGTTAAAGATGCTGCAGCACCATGGGAGTTTGGCATCTGACTGTCAGACCCTTTTCAATTCTTAGCAAAGAGATTTTAAATGTTCGTGCATTATCTTATACTGAAAGGGACCAACATAGCAAAAATCTGCTCTGTAGGTATTATTGCTTTTAACTTGAAATGGTTTTGATTTTTTTTCTCAAAGATTCAAGTTGCTTTATGGATGGCAGGGAAAATGTGTGGAATATGTGGAAAATATGATGCAGAATGTGAACAGGAATATCGGATGCCCAATGGATATCTAGCTAAAGATGCAGTGAGCTTTGGGCATTCTTGGATTTTGGAAGAAAAGCCTTGTACAGGAGGTATGCAAGCTCTGATAAATTTGTATAATATTACTGCAATTATATAGAAAATGTAGAATTAAAGTATTTGTCAGTTTAGAAAGGAATAAGAAATTACAAATTAAACAAACAAGCCAAAAACCACAAGTCAGTTGAAATTAAATAACCAAGCTGAAACAAAATCTTTGTTTCAGTTTTGAAGTGTTTTGGAAGATTAGAAAAAAATATAAATTCACATGGAATGCTTTGATTTAAGCACAACAGCATGATCCATCAAAAAATCAGATGGGGATTAGTTATTATTTTACCTTGGCTGACCACCTGATTTTTGAACCAGTGCAACCTGTCAAACTAAGCATTCAAGCGTATGAGCAGTTCCAGGGACTTAATTACATGGTTGAAATAAAAAAGCTGTATTTTAAGTGTTTCGGTAGATTAGGATCTTATGGTGTGCTCGGTGCTCTCAGCTGAGGTTATGATGCAACAGGACACCGCAGTGCTGCCAGGAGAAGAGGCACGTTGCCTTTGTAAAGACGACTTGTCCTGGTGGGAAGGACTTCCTCGGTCCCTGTTATTCTTTAGTGATTATTTTTATTTGTTCAGAAATCCCCCCTTTCTTTCCATGGCTGAATATTCACAGCTTTCGAATGTGGGTTTGCAGCTATTCTGTGAGCCAGTTTACTTTGCAAAATGTTTAGTAGAAAGTATATCAGACTATGTTTCTACATGCTAATCTAGAAACAAACCAGTTGCATTTGAAATTAGCTTTCCATAGCTCCATATCCATTTAGCTGATTTGAAAAGTTTATCAGTCAGGGATGCTGCTTTACTTATGATTAAAATACAGTTTTCATAGAGGAAAATTTTTTGCAAATTGGCAACATTGGCGGATTGGTCAGTCTGGGGAGATCTGAAGATTTTGTACATAAGCACATAAACTATCACCAGTGGTTGTGTTACAGCCTGCAAATTGCGACGCTCATTTGTGAAGCTTGAGAAGACAGTTCAGCTTGCGGGTGTGGAGTCCAAGTGCTATTCTACAGAGCCTGTGCTGCGCTGTATGAAAGGATGCTCCGCCACCAAGACTACTCCAGTCACTGTTGGTTTCCACTGTCTCCCAGCTGGTAAGTCAACAGAAAGCCTACTGAATAGGAGCTGCATAAAACTCTAAATAAATTGTGCCTTGACTCAGTTAGTCCACTTGAATTGTATGAATAATCTAACATATCCACAGGCAGGGATGGACTTACCGCGGTATTGACTGAAGACCTTTCCCTGTTTTCATTAATATGTAAAACTTTCTTTAGCAAGAGAGATGTTCTTCTGTTGTAATTTTACTATGTTTTTCATGATACTGGCATTTAAAATCTAAACTGAACTCCTCTTCATGGTGCTATGAACTAACAGGGCAAGGGCAGGGTAACAGCACGGTCAACATTGTGATTCAGCTGAAAACCTGCGTATTGCAGCCTGTGAGGATTCAGACACATCTGATCATGTGCAGCACCCTGAAACAGGGATCCTCGCCTTGTATCTTGTTATATATCACTGTTTTTGGGCGTGATCCTATTTCACTGAGCTGATCTAGGCAACAGAAGGGCACAGGCGTGGATGGGATTCCTGCACACAGGTGCAGTGATATAGCAGGATGTCTCTTTTATAGGTATATCGTAGATTATAAAAGATTAGGTAAGAAAGATACAGATTATATAGATGATAGGTTCATGTCTGTTTTCCAAGTTTGTTTTTCCTTTAAGACCACAATATCCTTTCCTAAATGTATTACTAATAAAATTCTACATGGAAGTAGTAGTTTTCAATGTAGAACTGGCTTATTAATTAAGTGGGTTTCCTGGAACATCTCTGCGTGACTTAGACAAACATAAATATGTAAGCCAGTGAGGAGAAGCCAAGCCTGCTGTAATTAATGACTAGTGCATGGTAAATGCTATACCTTGCAAAACTACTTCTGAAGTATCCTCTTTACTTTTCATTTCTTGTTCCCCCTCAGATTCAGCTACCAGCCTGACGGACAAACAGACAAAGTTCGACCAGAAGTCAGAGGATATGCAGGACACTGTTGATGCACACATAGCGTGTTCTTGTGAGAACGAAGACTGCAGTGCATGAAGCTGTACATTGCAGTACAGGAAAAAACAGAAGCACTTTAATGTTTTTATTGTGTGGTGTAAGACGACTCATCTTAAGGAATAATAACGATACTAAATTAAGTGTTTAAAGACTTGTGGAATCTTCCCAACTAATTTAAAGTATTAAACTTCATTATTGTAGAAACTGTTATGATTGCCCATAAATATCTGATTTCGTAATAAATCCATGCATGGAAAAATGGATGAAGGCTTCCTTATTACACTGGTTATGGAAAGAGGAGGTCTGTGTTGCTTCTCCTCACCCCCCATTTCATAGACTTCTTGAGTCTGTGACAGTCTGCTATGCACCGGGCATGTGTCTGTGTCAGGCCCCATCGGGGATATGGGTTGGATAGCTGTGGTACCAGGCTCCTGCTTGTTTCCCCAGGGCTTTCTTCCCCTGCTGGGATCCTGTGCACCCGGAGCAGGAACTGATCACTTCTGTGTGATGCAGCAGCAACACACCGTGGTGCTCTGCAATAACGATGTGCCAGTGCTGCTGTAGGGAACACCAAGATCAGGGAATGAGCCTGAACCTCATGCCACTGGACAAGGCTGCTCTGAGGGAGTCGAGAACATGTGTTCCACATGGATGCACCACATGGAGAAGCTATTGCGAATCAGGGGTCTTTGAAAAGGACATGGTGGAGTTACCCAAATACACCACCTGCCGAAGGGTCCGAAGCAGAGCCAGACCTTTGCACTTTGGGTGACATGCCCCAGCCTCTGTGCCCAGCATAAGCCCTTGCTGCGGCCACCATCAGCAGGTGGGCTCTGCCTCCAGCCCACCCGCTGCAGGTCTGCGTGGGCACGGTGAGGGACGTGCTCATCTGCCATGAGCGCTGGAGCCCAAAGGATTCCAACAGGTCTGGAAGATGTTTTCTGCTTGTCCTAAGGCTGTGCTTGCAGGCTGAGTACGCATGCTAGTGAATTTGTTTTTCAGAGAACTGCCTTAGGAGATGGTGCAGACGTAGCCATTGACGTCAATCAGATTGACGGCAGCTTAAGTCATCAGGAGTTCTGCACAAATTTCAATAGAAATAGTATTGTACTCAGTTTACCTGCCTTAATTCATCAGTGTTCTCCCAATTAATACATACACATTCAGCCATTTTTATTACTGACTGACCACACATTCATTTTTATATTTAGGTTTGTTAAGGCAAAGCAGAATGTGATCCTACTGAGTTGTTAAAAATGTAGATCAACAGTAAATTAATTAAAAGAGAACAAGTGATTTGATTCTTAAAATCAGTAGAAACCAATGAAGAAAAATGGCACTTACCTATGACCACACAGGGTAGAGAGGTAATCACTGGCTAGTTTTTGAAAACACTTGAGAACATTCTGTAAAAATTGTGTTGTTTTGCTTTCCCCAGCAGCTTTGGTACCTTCAATGAATGCATGTATGTGAGTTTTATAGTTTGGATGTGAGTTTTATAGTTTGGAAAGGTCATGTCCAAAAGGAATACGTTTGAAAGACATAAATGTTATATACAGTTTATAAATGCTGTCATGGTACCTTGCACTGCAAAGTGATGGGGAGCTGACAGCAGGCAGTTTGGACAGTGCCTGGCAGCAGCTGAAAAGTGGTGAGCTGGTGGGTTTGCTGCTTGCCTGGAAGTCACACGGAGCAGTGAGGGGAAGCACAGACTTCCCAGGTAACCCCTGAGGCCGGGCCTTTGCATGACCCCCGGAGCTGGGCTCCACGGGGGGCTCTGGCATGAGCCCCCAGCTCCAGTGGGGCCAGCCCATGGGGCTCCTCCCTTCCCAGCCTGCCGAGGCTGGAGCGCAGCTCCGGGGGGACTCTTGTCTTCCAGCGCCTGTGCTCAGCTGCGAGGGGTGCGATGAGCTCAGCAGTAAGGCCCTGGCAGGAGACCCGCGGGTGAGCATCACCCGACCACCATGGCAGCCAGGGCACCTGTGGGGGGATGTGGGCTGTGGGTGTCCACCTCACGAAGGGCTGCAGGGAGGCCTCAGCCAGCCTCTGCCCCCCTCCCCCACTGCCCCCCCGCTGTGAGGAGAGCGCCGAGCACAGCTTGGAGGAAACGCTGTCCAGGGCAGGTCCTGGGCACAGCGAAGTTGTTCGTCACCTCACGAT